CGTTTTAGAGGTAGGAGTTCCACTTCCCTTCATTGGGCCCTAGATGTATATGGTTTGCAGGTCTTGTTCGTCTCAAAAGATCAAGCAAAACCACCTCATCTGAACAAGTAAATCTATGTAAATCTATCGCCCTAACAACCCATCACTGTACAAAGGTGATATAGGTGTTGTTCCATCAACCTCACGTTGCTCATGTACCTGAGTGTGTGTGTGTGTGTGTTTGCTTCTAATCATTACACGATCAATCTTTCCACCCATCTATCTATGGCAACCGCGATGTTCAATGAACTTGTGTTCCACTCACAAAGCTATGGGGCAAACATTGTCTTAGAAGCAATTGTTGACCCTAGGGAGGCCAACACAACAAAACTCACCCGAACGCTGACCTCACACCAAACACACAGTCTCACTTTTCAAGCAACAATGGGTGGAGAGGCTTGAAGTTGGAAATGATGCACATCATTGGTGTTTCAAAATAGCACCATGTGCAAAATACAGGCTTCAAGGTTCTTTGACTCCCCGTGTTTTCCTATACATCTCACCTCTTTAAACCATGCGCAGCCTCTCCATGTTGGTTGCTATTGAAACACCATTTTTGCTTCGCTTGCTACTCATGGGTTCCAACTATGAAATCGGTCCGCAAAAGGGATTCTGGGATTCCGGCTGACTATAGGGGATGTGCGGAAAGTGAGCGACGTCAATTTCTTGGGTCCTCTGCATTGCTCCAGAGCGCTTGTTCACTTGCTTGACAAGTCCAAAAACGGTGTTGTAGAGGGAACGGGACAAACTTCTTGGTTCGGCGTGATTTGGCGGCTCTTCTCCATGTTTGATGCGCATTCCGCATTCACTTCAAGATTTGCACAACCTTTTTCCAGGTGACTCTTCGGTTTCATGGCAGCGGTCCGCAGGAAGCCCGATCAAACGGCAGAGAGTGTTGACGCTGCACATTTGGAAGGACATATCATTTTCTTAAAATGCAGGTCAACAATAAACGTGCCCCTGAGACCCTGATTCACCAAAGCGTCAAAGCGCCTTTTTTAGGGACCGTCTACAGATCCATCTGCCACCGCGCTAACAGGAGCGATGCAAGCAATGCTATCTTTGAATACTTTAAGTTTGCTTCACCAACATCATCTGACATTTATGCTAATGCAAAGTAGGCCACGTCCCACGCTGCAAGTTCGGGCATGCTGTATGTGTGCACCTCCCGCTCATGTCCGAAACAAAAGCACACATTGGGGGGGGGCGTCCCCAACCAAAAGCACAGATTTGGTCCGATCCTCACGCAAGGGGCATGATGAGCATGAGATAGCATGAGTGTGGGTTGGAAGTGGTCCACGAAAAAACGCGAAATACGGGATGAGTCGGACATCAAAAGGACTCACAAAGTAAGTGGCATCACATGATCACCACCCATCCAAGCTTCCGAAGGTGCTTCTACAACAATAACTGGCTGCATCTACTTCTGTGTACAAATATATAAAATTACAAAACAATATATACACATAGAGCATTGGCAATATCTTGCGTGAATCCCCGAAATCAACCGAGTCTTCCCATGATCCCGCCAGCCCTAGTCACAACAGCCGTCATGGGAAGAGGATTCCAGATGCTCACGGATGGAATGTTGCCCACGCCCGGAAGGACTTGGTTCTCATAGCCCGTGGTCAGCAAAGGAGGCACTTGCAGAAATGCCGTATTGATCCTCAGCGTGCAACGATCGAAAGCCTCACCCGAAGCCGTCTGAGACCGTCTGAGACGCTGTGCGCACTCCCTTAGGTGCAGCGATCCAAAGCCCCTTTGGAAGAGAGACAAGAAAGGACGTGATCAGGAGGCAGTGGGGATCGATCCGTCGAGCGTTCTGATCAACAAAAAAAAAGGCCAAGGATCATTAAGAGCCAGAGGACCCTGAAGGACATGTCAACCAAGAGGAGGAAGCCTGCATCGTCATAGTCCCACCTGATCCACGATGTGCAAATGACAAGGCTCATGACTCATGAGTCTTTTTTTTCTCATGGGGTGGCCCTCACCAAATAGCGATGTTTGGTCATAGTTTGGACAACAAAGGCACAGGCTTCAAAGCAGATGGCACAAGCCACCACAGGGGATGAAGATGAATGCCCGTTTAACTAATGTCATTTTGGAGCTTGTGCCATCTGTATAGACCCCCAAACCGAACTGGTTTAACTCCCAAGCCGATGTAAAGAGTGTGAAGACCATATCACATGCAAATTCGGCAGCCACAAAGAGTCCGGTTTGGGGGGGTATACTCAACTCTTCCAAATGTCCCGCACTTCTGCACTTCGGTCTTGATCCTCCAAATTGGATCCCACTGGCAGCCACAGAAGGACTGACATCCATCAACGATCAGGAGCATCAGTAGGATCCTCACGGGGAGCCAACAAGGACTTAAACATAACTTCAACAGCTGGGAGCCGCCTAAATATCTCTAAAGAGCCCAAAACGTTCATCAGGACCAGCCCAGCGTCACGAAGACCACCAGCAAGATTCGAGCAAGACGAGCAAACATCAAAGAAGCATTGACATATCCGTCTGACAAAGCGTTGGACATAAAATCCTTAGGATCTCCACGGGAAAGCCACGAACTAATCCGTGGGGGGGAGAACTCGTGACACTCCCAAGTGGGAGCCTTTGACGTGGGTAGGAGCGATGTCATAGTCTGTGACCAGAGTGCTGGTGGACATATTCTATCAAGAGCATGTTCACGCTGAAACTCGTAACAAGAGTGGATAAAGAAAAGGACTTAGGCTTGGCTGGATTTTTTCTGAGAACCACAGGTCTTGAACTTCAACAGTCCGAGTTGCATCCCCACACATCCCCTGAAGAGATACTACCAAGACATACCATGTTGCTTGGCCGAGAGTCTGAGGTACTCAACCACTTCTTGCAAGCTTCTTTGTAATCACGGTACCAGGTACCCACAACTTCATGCCGTAAGACCTCCACGTGATTTCTTCTCAGCTTCCTGGCTGCAAGCATCTCGGCGTTCCAGCCATAGGGGTCCACCGTGGTCAAGGGCATTTGCATGACCTCGGGGCCACAGTGGCAATCGCGGCCACCACGAGGAGACGAGACCCGATCAACGCCTCTCTTTCTTCGGAAAGAACATGAGCATCTGCGTGTCTGTGCCAACTGATCAGTTCTAAGTCAGAAGGAAAACCACCGATTTCACTATGAATTCCTCCAAACAGGGGCTTTTCCACTTGGATTCTTTCAGGAGGTGTAGCCCTTTCACCCTTTCAATGCTTGTCCAACCCACTGATACGCCACACATGTGACTCCGACCGGGGCCACTCATCGACCACTCCAGTCTTCCGGGTCATGTCGAGTCTTGATGAATGAACGCCCCATGTGAAGAGGCTCTTCAATGAGTCTACATTTTATCAAGAGTCTACATGGATTTGTCTGATTTTTTTCTCAACTTTGTTGGTTGAAAGTATGGTGGTAGCTCTCTCCAAGTCGTATGGTCTTCACCAAAGGCGATCATTCGGAAGTTTCTACAATTTGGGCGGGTCACAAATATGACTGTTTTGGGGGCCAATGAGATATTTGGCTCCTAACATAGTCCCAAAAGACACAAACATATGTCTTATCTTACCTATAAATTTGTATCATTGCATAACATGTATACTAAATGTATTCTCATGTATTCTTGTCTCCAGCTATCTCCAGCTTATCATTGTAGCAACAAGAAATCTGAATCGACTTGTCCGGATGACAAGATAGAGTTGCACAAGCTCTTTGAAACTGATGGAGGCTTTGTCATGTTGATCCGCATCCTGTGCGGCATGCATGAGGACGGTCTGACGCTCCAACAAGCCCAGCATGGTAAAAGCGCCGGGCGCTTGCGCCAAGACCCACACAACACCGTCCATGTCATTACCTTGGATTGGGAGATTACTGAACATTTTGCTGGACTTGATTCATGAATGACATCCCCCCAAAATAGAAATAACATAAACATCAACAAACTACAGAAAAAAAAATGAAGCCCTGACACACGGAAAAACAAACATATTCTCTTGGTCTTCAAAGCTGGCACTGCTGTTTGGGCTCAGACCTGGACCTGGTCCTTTCAAAGGAACATGAAAACAACAATGAGATTATGCGGCATCTAAGGCGCCACCACACTTCTTACTTTTTTTTCATCAATGACAACTGATCTTCATTCAAGTGAACATCGTTCCGGACCAAGTCATGCAGCACCGTTCTCGCGAAGGCCTCTCGCACTTCTTTCCGATAGTCATTCTCCTCTGGTACCACCTTGCAAATTAAGTCTCCACTGCCCCATAGGAAACCGCTCTCCAAGAGGAGTCGAACGATGCCCACCTCGGGAAGTGCCAAGGTAAAAGTACTTGTTCCTGACGACTTAACTAGATCAGATATCAACTATCACTATCGAATATGTGATATAGTGTGCGTGGCCTGACAACATATATCACTTATACTTCTATGTACTTAATGTAACTTTTAACTATACCACAACAAGTGTTTAAGTCTGGGTGAACAAACGCGGCCAGGCAGTGGAACGACACCAAAAGGACGTCAACTCATTTGTCTTGCTGGATCCAAGATGTGAAGTTGAGAGGGTACACATGGGTACACTCCTCTGTTCATCATCATGGTTATGTGGATGGCACCACCTGTTTGGTAGGATGGAAAATGGCCATGTAACCATGATGATGAACAGAGGAGTGTAAGTCCTGGCATGAATCTGCAATGGCCCATCCAAGCGGCACGTCGTCGTGCCATTGAAAATTGATCTCCTACGATCCACTGCTCGTACAGAAAGCCCATGAGCACCCGCTCGTTGGCTTTCCGGGTCATGTGTAAGGCCAGCTCCAGTACCTTCAACTACAGAACATAAACTCTGACTCTAAACCATTTCTGATAATGCAAGTCAGACCCACATCCCTGCTAGAGGAAACTGTTTCAATTCCATATGCAAATCGGTGAATAACCAAAGGAGCATTTGGTTGGTGCATGACATGCGTAGTTCTTATTCCATCATGCGTAGTTCTTCTTCCGAACGGAAGCTCAGCCCATCTAGAGATACTTCATGATGTTCGTCCAAACAAAACAAGGCTCTCCCGACACTAAGAAGAGAATTTCATGGTCCAAAGTCTTAAGCACTTGTCAACGTTCGTGCCGCCCAAGTCTTAAGCCCAAAAAACGACCGTTGATCAAGACACTGGACAGTTCAACGAAGAACCACTTGCTCGGACCACTGGAACGGGTCTCTCTGACTGGTTCTCTCCACCAACTCACAGGTGTTCAATTCAGCTCCTGAAGACCGCACCCAGAAGGAGAACCCCAAAAAACGGCTCTACTGAAGACTCTTGAATCGTCGGCGCCAGGTGAGGCAAAGGGAAATGCCTTCACAGTTGGCTGCGGCCACTGTGAGCAACACCAAGGAACGGTGCTGTTATTGAGTTGGTTCCTCGCTGTGTCGTCGTGGCTATCGTACTTGGGCTCTTCGTACCACACAGGAGTCCTTGCCAAGTAGTCCAAATCGCTGCAATGCATCTGAGCATAGTCTTCTGCATTGTGGAGCTGGTTCAAGTTGTGGACATACGCATTGGGTCTCTTCCAGCTTTCCAGCAGGCTCTTCAAGTTCCAAAAATCACCTCCAGTTTGGCTGGTGAGTTCCCAGGATGCAGAATAACACAAAAACTCACCAAAGAGTGAATGGAGCTGATGGAAAACAGAGGCTGATTCAAGTCGGTCCACAATGGTCCACACACCTACACAGTCAAAACATCCTACCCAAATACATGTCCAATGCCTACGTAAAACCTGAAAAAAGGGAGCCGCTGCGTTCAATCCAAAGCCCCCCATCAATCGTCTACTTCTCTGAACAAATGACACATCATCAATCCTCTCAACTGAGTTTGTTATCAAGTCAGGTCCAGGTCTGCAATCCCCCGACCATCGCACCCTCCAGAATGGAACCCCTGGAGGAATGTTGAATAGTGTATCAAAAGCCGTTCTTGATGCAAGGAGTGCTGCCCGCTCCGAGTAGCATCTCTTACATCACAATAGCTAGGAATCGAGTTCCCAATGAAGGAAAGCGATGAACGATTGAAACACAAGCCGAGAACCGTTGCACCTCATCAGAAAAGAAGGTTCACAACATAAAAAGGCAGTCCACTCCCGCATGCGCTGCCCTGCTTTGTTGTTGCTATTTTGGTACTGGACTGCTCTTGGTGCGTGTATCTCCGGCATGCAAAAAACATCCGATTCCGCAACTCCTCCACCACTGCCCCCTTCCCAAAGCGATCCTTCAGAAAATCAAGACAAAGCAATGTCGGCTCATTGACACTTGAGCTTAAATCCCACATAATCCCATTCAGCGTGCCCCGAATTCTTTGTCCGCTTTGGCCCGTGTGCTGGATTTTTTGGCGGCCGATCAGATCTTGGTGTGCTGGAAGGGGGGGGTGATGCCAGTGTGCACTGGAAGGGGGGTGATGCTAGTGTCCACTAAAAGGGGGCGAGCCCTGGCAGCATTAACGAAATGATACGCCGCCTTGAGGTACCTCTTGAATAGCAACCTGCAATTTGGAAAGAGCACATGCCGGTCTCCGCAGAAATTTGAGAGCGTTCTAATCTGGCAATCTCTGCAATATCTGCAAACGAGCATGTTTTGTCCAGTGTGCTTGAAGCAGCTGTGGGTCGATGTTCTTTTGTTGATGCTGTCAATGATGTGCAGGGTGGTGGATGTGAGGAACGACTTCAATGTGTTTGGTTTGCAAAAACGTGTTTTATATCAATCCGACATGTTCTTTGAGAATGCATACCCATAAAATCTGGTATGGTACAAATGATCATAAATCAAGTCTTGTCGCCATCAATGATGTACTTCTTAAGCTTCTCAAGCTCCTGGTTCAACTTCACCTGGGCGCAATCGCGCTGATTCTGCCAAAACGTCTCACTAACGCATGATTCAACCAGGTTATTGCTTTTGAGGGGGGCCTATTGCTTTTTTGCAGGTTTCATCCCATGTCATGAAATTGACCGCCACTTTTTACTCAATTGTCATCGCAGAATTGATGGTTGCTCATGTGGATGATCTAAAGCCCCCCAAATCCCCATTCTCAAAGTCCTGCTAAACCAATCCTAGGTCTTACACTCCCTGCAAACATTATGAAGATGTGAACTGGCTCCTTGCATGCCCTTGGACACCCGTTTTCCGAATACCAAACAGGTGGCACCATACACGTAATCATGCTCGTTACAGGATACCGGCGTTCCAACTACTCCAAGCCTTCCAACGAGGCACCGCATCTCGATGATGCTTACACTTCACCCTTGTGGGACTTTGCCCAACGATGCTGGCAGGGGCGAGTAAGGCGCGAGAAGCAGCCACAGCATCTCTGCTCAGCGTCTGCTCGTGGCTCGCGACGTCCTACCAAGGGATGCAGGCGACATCACTCCCAAAACCACAAAGGATGCCAAAAACTGCTCTCTCATCCAGCTTCGGCACAGGATTGACACACAGCCGGGCGATGTATGGCCCCAACCCAGCACATCACACTGTCTCTTTTACGATTGTATAAGGCTCTAAGGAGAGTATATATATATATATGTATTTTGTCACTGATATCACCCACCGTTCAACAGCCTTCCAAACCAGTGGCTTCCACGGCTTACCGGTTGCCCAGTTGCACAGGTTCATCATCACTTTGAGGCTATCAGTATCTTGGTGGAAGTCAATGGGAAAGGATTACTGGCGGAAATTTCAACCAGTGGAAGAACTAACTAATGGACACAAACAACAACCAAATTTGTCAATCATACTTGCCAACAAACATGATCTTTCAACTTTTCCAAGCCAAGTGTATCAATGAGGAAATCAATGAGGAAATCTTAAGCCGCTGACATCTCTCCATAATTATCTTTCTCTCTCTCTCTATAAAGTTTGGACATATTTGGAATAATCGTTGAACATGGTACCCCATCATGACGTGATAGTCATTCCATCTGCAACGTAGCAATAGCCAAGTTCAAGGACACCCACTCCTGCACCGCCTTCTCATAAACCAAAGACCCGAGGAAAATGGCCAAGACTGGCCAAAGCTGCATGCAGTCTTGTATCGCCCTTAGCCGGTCCACTGCGCTGTCCCCAACAAAAGGAACAATTTATGCCCCGCCTGATGTCCGAGGGCTATAAACCTGGGACTTTTCCAGTACATACAAACACGAACACTTGAAGGACCTCTTCTAGTGCTCTTGATCAACTACTGTCATGCTTTGGTGAGCGCAAACATCGCATGATTCCCTTAGATTTCTTGGGACAATCACCCCAACAACTGCAATCACCAGTGATGACATACCAACAACCGCCAGCAATCGGTCTCCTTCGACCGCTCCAGAGGATTTCTGGACTCAAACGGACCGGGACAATTCACCCAACCCTGCAGACCAAACTGCAGCGTGCTGATGGGGTGCTGATGGGGTGCTGTGACGGTGTTGTGTTTGGTCAAGCCTTGCGGCTTCGCGGAAACACTCGAGGTCCAAATGTTTGCTTGGAATGCGTTCCATTGATCTTCATTTGTCCGACTGTGACATGAATGCTGATTCGCCCAAGACAACAAGGCGTTTTGATGGACATCCACTCAAAAACTGAATTTAGCAGTTATTTCAGGTGGTTTTCATCGGAAAACAGAGCACGGATCGTTGCTCTGGCAACTGATAACTCCTTTCAAGCAGTTTGAAGCTTCTTCAGGTGGAGCTGTATTCCCTGTGAACCCAACTGAAGCGTTTGTCCAGTATAGGGTAGCTGGTCAACATTTCAAGGGTGCCAATCTTCTGGGGAAGTTGAACCTTAAGTAGATAGAAACAACTTCCAGCCGTATCCTTCTTGCAGGGGTGAGGGGTCTCATCTTTCCACAACCTTAGCGGCAAACAAGTCACATCCCATCTCTGTATCCTGGCCTATGTCAGTTCACCTGGTCATCGCCGTCCCGCTCAAACAACATCAAACAACCAAAATTACCGATGAGACTTCAAGCAAGATTCCAAGACGCTCCCCACACAACTGGAATGCTCAAACATGCTGGTCTGTCAGAACTTGAGCAGCTGGCAATGGCACGTCCCAGAGACAAACAATGACAAACACGTCCCAAATGCTCCATGAATCTATGGGACTGCAAAGAAATTGCCTAGATTCACCACCAAGAACCACAAGTCATGTGGGGCATATTCATCTGGGATAGCCATGACCACCGCAATCACCCACAATCACCCACAATCACCACGATCGCCGCAGCTCGCGCCGGCTCGGCGGTTTCAGCTCTGATCCGGTTTGGCACCGCTTCGCGAGGGTCCGGAGTCTGCATTCACCCCCAATGAAGAGGTTGTTCATTTAAACTGGGGGGTTTATGAATCAAGAGTCTACATTACTTAATTACAGAGCTCTGCAATGATCCCAAATGGCATGCTGGATTTGGTCTATGAACGCTTCGGTGTCATTTTAGAGGACCAAGGCGCCGAACCTTCTCGCCTTCTCAAGTACCCTGGCGCCCCTGGCGCACATGGACATGAAAAATGGCTAACGAAAGCCATGGCATGCCACGGCGCAAAGCTATTTTGACGCCTGCTCGCATGGAGTGGCGCGCGCTGGCATGTTTGGGCCAGCTTGGTCATTCCAATGCCCAGCTTGATCTCTGCTGTAGTTGTTTGCAGATTCATCTTGTAATTCCATTGTTTGTAACGTGTAGTTGTAAACTTATCTGCGGAGCTCCCCAAGTTCCGGTGGCAAGGAGCATAACTAATAACTCCAACCAATGCATCTGTTGCCTGTTACAATACACCTGCCAGCGAGGTTCATTAGCCTGGAGCACTGGAGCACGACTTACGATTCTGTACACCAAAAAGCAGTAGTTCACCTTAGGTGAAAGCGCTTGCTTTGGGTTATCGAAGCACCATCTCCACCGGTGTTGCGGTTCCGTTGCATTTTTTTAGCCATCTGGCATGGCTCTATATGGGCTCTCTGCGCGAGCAGCCACGAGACAAAGTGCTGAGCACATTGCAAACATGTTCTTTGTATTGCCAAGATGCCTCACCTTGGCTGGTGCCAACTTTGGGCACCGGGAACCACATCTGCCTGTATGCTTGTGCTCCTCGCTCTAGATTCAGTGTGATTCAACCCGGATATTTCTCTATGTCTTTCTGTGTACGCCCATCTACTGGCCTTCTTCATGGGAGTGCCCCGTTTTTTCTGACACCGCGAGGAGCACCATTCCAACGAGACTTCACCTTGGGTGATGCCAACTTCAAGCTAATAAATGGCAAAACATATGCCCTCGTGCTCCTCACTCTAGATGTTCTGCCTGTTTCATGTGCTTATGGTATCTTGTGGCCTTTGTTGCACAAACATGGTCTGTTTTCTTCAACAAAATCATTCAAGGAGCACTGGATTCCGACGACAGTGGATTCCGACGATAGACAAATCTCAGGTGATGCCAACTTGTGGCTAGCAAAAGTACTTCTCCTGTTGAAAGTCACTCTCCTGGCTCAATTGCTTTCATTGATGCTCCCGTGTTTGTGTGTGCGCGCTAAGGCATGACGTAGATCATGGTAAAAACATGCAAATCAAACAACACCGTGCGCTTGTGTCAAAAGAGGCGCTCTTTGAAAGACTTCGCAATAAGCAAACCTGGGTCAAAAGAAATGAAAAGAAAGGTTAAAAAGGTCTCTGACCAAGTTGACCAAGTTGAGAATCAACATAAACAACTCAAAGGGTTTGAAATCAGTTCCCGCACTCTCCTCCTGAGGCTCACTCGTTGCCTCGTCACTCTCTTCAAGCTCTTTCTTGGTCAAACTCCATGGTTGTTTCTGATCATCCTCTCACGTGGGCCGCACCATGGAGAACAGAGGCTAAGCCTTTTACAGTAGTCGAAAACAAGGATGGAATATTGAAATAGGAAGTTCTAGCAACGGTTCCAACCAGGTTTCAAGTATGGATGCTTTGGAGACTCAAAACATGATTTTTTTCACCGCCGCCGCCAGCCCTTCAAAGCCACGTGCCCTTCTGCACAAGACCCCGGAGGTCCTTTAGATCATCCAGCTCCACGATGTAAACAAGAGCAAAGGCATTCAATACAAAGTCTGCTAAACCACCTCTGCAAAGCCACAAAGGCAAGGTATAAACGATGATGGCCTTGCAAGGCACCGTTGGCTTCACACCGAGGACACCGAGGACGCGCACTGTGTCTTGTTTCTTCCGTGGATCTCCGGTACGGAAGGAGGGCTGAAACTGGACAACGATTGACATTCTTGAACCGTTTACTTGAACGGTTGGCTGACATTCTCCATCTGTTTACTCTCAGTTTTGCGTGAAACAAAGCACTTCTTGTTAGAACTCTGCGGACAAGAAGACCTACTAGATTCGGCTGCAAGACCACAATGCCCCCTACAGTAGTCATGAAGAGTGTATACAACAACCCCCAACAACCCGAACAACCCCACACCTCAGTCAATCCCAAACAATCCATAAAGCTAGCATCTTTACCGATCAGGCCCGAGATGGATGTTTGGAGGGGTGAACCGGGACGGAGGGACGGAGGCGCCTTGTACAAACCGCTGGACATGTAGGACATCACAAAACGGCCGACGATGCACAGCCACAACCAATGTGCATGCACCACCTGAGCAGGCTATAGCAGGTTGAATGTGCATGTATGCAAATTATATGCGCACTTTTAACAGTCCCTTCAACATATGCTTGCAAATAAGAACACGGTCCTTAGAGATCTCTTTTTTTTCAGTAGCCACACATCAAATTGACCAGGACCCTCAACGCGTGTGCCAGACCACATCATCGTTGCGTTTAGTTCGGGTGACCGGAAGTAGGGCCCATGCCTTATTTCAGCTTCTGCCTCTGGCACTCTCAACCCGCTATACAGCCATGAAGCCGTTGCATGCCGTGAAGCGCACCCTTGTCTTGGAAAACATTGGGGTACTAGTCATGGTACTTACCTGGCCTCAGCTCGCTTGATGAAGAGGGGGGAACTTGTCGCGCGTTGGGATGCTCGACAGCGCGGGCTCGTTGGCCTTAAATTCAATGGACTTTTCGTCGTTGGTCTGGCGGACGACGTATGACATTAGGTCCTTGCCCTCCATCTCCTTCTTCACAACCTCTGCCCAATCGTCGGAATAAGGGACCTGAATCAGGGAATTGGAATTTGGATGAGTGCAACACTTGACAGCACATCCACCCACTGGACAGCAACCGTCAGCAAAAAACACGACGTCAGCCAACCGTTGCAGAACAAGGGGAGGCAGCAGCAGGTACAAACAAAACGAAGCTCTCGCACCAGAATCTCTAGCAAACAGTGCTGTTTTGTCCCTTAGGCTTCTCTTCTAAGCTTTTTCGAGTAGTCGGTACTTCTATATACACTCTATTCTTTTGTAAAAAATCATATCCAAGAATGAGCAGGGCTTTGTTCCAACTTGTGAGGTGCTTCTCCACCTTCGCTCTCCTGCACCAGCGTGCCTGTAGATTGAGGATTACTTCTGCTTTGGATCCCAAGAAATGGCTTTTGCATGGTTCGTGCAGGATGTCCGGATGTGCAAGACTTTGTGACATGTTGTGACATTGTGATACTCTAATCATCCCCACCTTGCGATCGTTGAAAAACACATGTTTGACGAGAGCGCAGCGCATGACACGATGTACCAAACAATGCTCATGGCAAATGTCATGATTGGAATTTGATCGCTCACCTCCAGAGTCTCCTTGGACTCGCGCTCCATGTGGCTGGTCCACCTGTTCGCCAACAGGTGCAAACCCCACATCGTTTTGTTCTCCGGGGTCACCATGCAACAGGCCCATCGCAGCCAATGCCCTGAGAGCTCTCTCACGACGTCAGCAAAATGTTGTTCCTGAGGGCTCTCCTACGGCACAAGCCAAATGGGTTCCCTATGGTTCCCTTGAAAAGTGTCCAATTCTGCCGACCTCCTAAGCTCATTAGGAAAACCACCATTCGCTGTGAACAGGGAAGTGCCTCAGGCCTATGGACCCGTCGACCTTTCATTTTGAGAGTCCCCCAATCTCGATGGCTTCCGCCACCCCAATCTCCAACGTGTCGTGATCCAACCTCCACATCTCGGCAGTTGACATCTCTGATATATCTACATCTATTGACGAACTGACAGGTCGAAAGCATAGCCCCAGGCCCCAAAGCTGGTCTGTCATCCCCTATATGATATATCAACTTGTCAAAAAATCCTCGACACATCTCGGTCTCGACACATCCGCAATACAAAAGACCATGGTTGGCACATTCAACAGGAAAGCAATATCAAAGCAGGTTGCTTTTGGTCTCCAATTTTTGGACAGGACAGGCTAATGTCGTGTAGGTCACTACCCCAAAGACCAACTTCTTCTTCAACCCCGGTCTCCCTCTTCGATGTCCAGCGAAGCATGGCCGCTGCCTAATCTTATCCCGGCTCTGATCTGGAAGCTAGCTTTCTGCTCGTTAGCTAGTCAGAGATATCTAAATGAGTTTGTTTCATTTGGTTTCAACCTCGCCCTCGCTCACCAGTTTCCACCGAGCGAAAGGTCCATCTGAGAATGGGTTCTCTCTCTAGCCCAAACAATTGGGCTCTTTGCGGGTCACCATTCCATTTGGACAGGAGATCTGAGGTCAAATACCATGATGAGCATTGGCTTCAGCTGATTTTTTGTCCACCCGAAACGCTGCTTCATTGCGGTTTCTAGTCAAGGATCTGGCGCTGGATGTGGCGTCGGCTTGGTGACCTCGTCCTTCTCCAAGCCAGGGCCTGGCCAGCTCAGTTTCCGTTCTGATGCGCTCAAAGCGGCTGTGATCCTTTGGATTGACTTCCTGACAGCGAACAACATGTTTCTCCTTTTGGTTGAAGCCGTAAGCAAAGCATCTCTCAATGGCATCTGAGTGGGCGCCAACTCGAACTCTAAAAACTCTGTGGACTTTCCCGGATGAATTCAACAACTCCCAAGCCTTAAGCTGACCCCGACTTGACAGTCTCAAGGTATGATAGGTATGTATAGATGTACAAACAGACAGACTCTTTTGACTCTTGCGCACGCCGTCGACATCTGTCTGTAGCCGCTATTCTAAATACTAATTAATGCATCAGCTTTGCGACGGTTACCGTAGTCTTCCCCCATTTCAGCCGACGTATTGAAATCCGCCAGCAACGGAGCAATCTCTTCGAGAAAAGCCGTTGGTTGGGGGGGCCACCTCGCCGTCAAGTCTTTGGCTCTCAGAAAGAATCTTGGCCAATACTGCACAAAAAAGAGGCGGATACTCCTTCAAGGGAGCAGTGCGCCATTTACGCTCAGCGTCAAGTCCGATCACTCCTTTCTTTGGGAGTGCAGTAGATCGTGCGGCCAACAGGACCTCCTCACAAGCCTCAGTGGCATTCACAACGAGCAGATCGGTAGGCTTGACAGCCTGTGCAGCAAAATGGCCTTGACAGACCCTGTATTTGAAGCATCTCGGAAAGCGAAGCAGCGTCTTCACAAAATCTGTTCGCCACACAGACACAGTGTAAGGGCAGACCTCGTCCTCCGCGGGATGCTCCATCAATCCAGTAGCGCCAGTGATCAACGCAACGACAAGCAGCCGCAGTGTGACCCCCAACAGCCGGCTCCCAAACGAGGTTTGGCGGTCCTCGTTAGCTGTAAGTTCCGGCTTTCCAAAGGGATAACGCAAACTCCGGACAATTCGGGGTCCAGTATTGCCGTCTTCCAGGGCAACCCCCCCGAGCACGGCTCCAGGTCTCGCATGGCGGTCCCCCAATGAAACCACTGAGGAATCCATCATGCATCGCTCTCATGAAAAGTTCACATGTCTCTGGCCGACATAAATCCCCTTTCGTGGGGTGAAAAATAGTATCGATCGAAACAGCAAGATGTCCTAGAGTTTCCAAGCAGCTTTGCAAATCTGATTCTCTTCGCCGGCCTGAAAAAAGGTGAGCAAACACTACTGGCCTGTATACCGGTGTTCGGTATCGCTCAAAGCGAAATTCTCAAATGAGACCGAATGCTTTGCAAAGAGCTCATGAGCTCGTTCTGCTGTAACCACTGGTGCTCCACCCATCCCAGTAAGCCACGAAAAGGAACACTGTTGCAAAAACGATTCCAAAGCAGCGAGAAAATAGATTGGTCGTTCGAAGGCTTCCCAATCCATCTGTAGGACCCATTCTTGGAAAGCTCGTCTAATTTCAACAAGCGTCAGGTAGGTAAAACACGTAGCCTGTCGAAGATGAAGGCTCCAGAGATCAGGTGAGTCAGCATCCCTCCTAGTGGCCTCTGTCCATCTTCTCCAGAGATCGGCAGCTTCGGCTTGGAAGTGCGGATCACCTCCGATCTGATCTTTGGAGGGTTCAACCGGACCTTCTGCTTGAAAGAAGGGATCAACAGCCTGTCGGTGAATCTTTGTCGCCACCCTACTGTTGACTCCAGGTTCAGGGTCAACAACAACTGAATTGCTGAGGTAGGCAGCCATACAAGTGGTCGACCGCTTCACATGGTTAAAAAGATTCACATAGCTATTGTATTGCTTGAGACAACTCTCACACTGCGTCCCAGTCACATAATACCTGGCCGCCTGCTTGCGACCATGTACCTTAAAGGAATGTACCGCTTGAGCGGCCGCAGATCGAAAGACTCTCTCCACAGCACGCTTGATAGCTTTCTTCAAAACGCGCTTCCACCAGCCACCAGATTCCGAAATCGCACGTACAAGGTCACTCCATCCATCAGGACCCCCACTTGGAACATCAGCTTCCGGGCAGAAACATCGAAGCCACTCAAGATCTTCAAGAATTTGAGCGTACCATTTCTGTTCTGCCTGAATCAGGCTCCATAAGTGCGGCTGTCCAGCAAAGACCAATTGTCCCAAATAACGCAATCTCGAGAGCTTCAAGACCTCCTCAGCCGAAGGCACCTCAAGAACTGTGAGGACTCTATCGTGACCCCATTCTACCGCTTGCTTCCCAAAGTGGCACACACAGAGCCTCTTATACAAGCGTTGGAACCCATGATCGATCTGGTTCCATTGTTTTGAAGTATGGGCACGCCAGAGAGAACATCCAAATGTGACAGCATTCATCACTAAGGATTGAAAAAGCTGTACTTTCTTAGCAATCGGCAGGGCCCTATTGGCAAAGAGCTGCGCTCGATATTTCCCAATGGTGTCATGCGCGATGGCAAACTTCTGTCTCACGTCCCGCGCTGGTCGTCCTCCTTTCTCCAGAACGACTCCCAGATGCTTATAATAGTGAACCACCTGGATCTCCTCTTCAACAAGCGGAGTTGATAATGGCAATCGATAGTCCAGGAGGGCCAGCCTCCTACGTGCTTGTACTGCACCCTTACCGCGGAGGTCCAGTAGCAGCTCCGTCTTTTCATGCTTCATATTGGGCTTGAGTCCAGCGCTGGCAAGGTGATGCAAAACCAATGAGGCAACTTGGGGTGCTATCTCCAACATCGTATTAGGACATTCATGTACCAAGCCCAATGCGATGTCGTCTGCCCACACCGGCATGATCGGTCCCAACCTGCACAAACTTGCATGATGGTCACGAAAGGGGGCACAATGACCACTCCACTCAAGGGCCATAAAGGGGAATCTCTTGAGTAGCTTCGCTTCAATATTGCGCAGTATGCGTGCTAGTGCATATCCAAAGCACAAATCCGCGAAGCTGTCTCCAGGTCGCGAGCCACGACGAGTCCATGTCCACTTGGCAGCCCCATTAATCTTGTACCAAGTGTCCCTATAGAACTCCGCAAAAAGAGATTGCAAAAAGGGGGATACCTCCCCTTCAGACAGAGCTGGCTCAGCTTCCACTTGTTCGAGCAAAATCTTCATAAGCATCGGGTGGCAATCCTAGAGTGTCAAACAACTCCTTAGCTCCCCGTTGATCTGTAGGAGTTTCGGTCATGTGACGTCTCACCAACCGATAAAAGGCATTCTGTATATCGACAAACAGAAATGCAACCGAAGCATGCTGGTCAATTGCTTGCCAATGGAGCAACTGAAGGCAATGTGTTGCCTGCGTAATGGACTGGCCTCTAATGCCCCCAATTTGTAAGGGAGCACGCACCTTATCAAAATGTGGCCCTAGTTCCTGGCGAAAGATGCTATGCAAGGCCTTTCCTACTACACTAGACACAAACAGACTTCTGTAGTTACAGCATTCCTTGGGATCGCCCTTCTTATACACAGGGACGAGGCGACCCCCTTTATACACCAAAAGCTTCATGTTGCATCATGACTTGTTTGAGGATCAATGGAAAAAAGACCTTGGCCATCATTGCTGGCAACTTAGCTAAGATGTCGCCAGGGATTTGATAATCGAAGAAAGCTTTATGGCGGGCTGTGCGGCGGAAAGCAGCCTCGAGTTCGCAGACTGTAGGGAGGTCTGTCCACTCTGGCCATATCGCAGGCAGTGCAGGCTCTCTAGCCGTTCTCTGCAACATATCCGAGACTGTGACCGCAACACCATCCTCTTGTTCAGCAAAGTGGGAGCGCCACTGCTCGGCAATCTCTGCCGAAGATAGCAAAACCTCACCTTGCTTATTACAAACAATGGGCAGAGGGGAAATGCCGCTAGGTTTCTTCTTACTTTGGATACCAAGTTGTCTCAGCCTAGAGGCAAACTGCGCAGCAGGAGCCTGAACTGCCTCCTCAGCAAGCTTTGTCAAGGCTGCCACACGATCCCGCCTCAAGGACTTTGTCAGTTTCTTAGCCAACCCTGCAATGCGTTTCTGCGCGTCGATGCATCGAAAGAGCGCACTCAGGACTTGCACCACTGGCCCATGTCCGTCCCCAACAACTTTTCTGGCTCCAACAGCAAAAAGCCCCACGCAGTGAGGCTTCATTCAAGAAAGCCCGGAAGTGCCGCAGCGCCCCTCGTAATGAAAGCCGTTGTGCACGAATGTCTCAGGTATCATCTTGGATGTACCCTTTTCTCGGCCTATTGCCTTGGAGAGGAAAATTTTTGATCAGTGTTGCTGAGACCCATTCTGAAAGCTGTGTCGCATGGGAATCAACATCAGCCCTCCAACTGATTTGTGGCGCTAAAGCGAACATCTTTTGCAATTGCTCAGTCGGACACTGCAGAAGGGCTTGCCGATCACATCTCGGCCAACCCCCAGCCTGAGACCTTCGACTCAAAAGCACCTGAACATCAGCCACCAATGGAATGTGATCATGGCCAGCATTTCCAGAGTCGACATATGGCTGCGGATATGATTCAATCCTACCACGAGACCACTCACCAGGAAGGATAATATAATCACATCGTGCCGGCTGTCCATTAGCTGGACTTACCCATGTATGCGTGTGTCCAGAATGGAACTGCTCAAAGGTGGATGGCGAAAAGGCCTGCAACTTCTGCACGAGCCGCTTAAGATATTCTCCTGCCGCATTCGGCTTTGCTTCAAGTCCAAATTCACCAAGATGGGGCAAACATGCAACATCAACATGAGCATTCCCATCAATACCGCCTATGAACAACGGCACCTCAGCTGTCCATCGTTCAAGTTCAGAGGTCAACTCAGCCCAGAAGGTTTGTAACTCATCAGAGGCAGATCCACTGTGCGGCGAATGCGCTGAAAAGATCAGCAGATCAAACTTCTGATACGTGGCCTTCAGGATCAGGATCCCACGGGTAGCGTATAGGACCCGAATGCTATCCTTGGCCACAAATTGGACACCACTTTTCGCAGCTCGCATCAGCCAGATCTCAACTCCTCCCTTACCACCTTCTGCGGCTGAAGTAATTCGGAAGTGTGTCTGTGACACTACCAACTGCGAAGATCGGGCACGCGTTTCCTGTAGACAGACAATGTGATGCCCACAAGCCGCAAGCTGCTCTCGCAAGTAGACAACATGCTGCATCCCGCGTCCGGGGTGCAAGCTTGTCACATTGAACGTCAATATCGAGATCTTCAAATACTTGTCAACAAACTTCACAGCGCCCTCCTCATCCAGCAGCTTTTGTGGTAGACGCTGGTGCGTACCAGGTGGTGGGTCAAGACATCCCGTGGTCAGAGAGCCAGCATGCATCCTCGGAAGATCAGATGGCTCATCCAGCTCTGTGAACACCCACCAAAAATTCTCAATGGGTGCCCGTTTCCCAAAGGAATAGGCAGCATACTCTGGTCGCACTCGTGGAGGACTTTGTCGGCCTGAAAGCAAAACCATTTTGGCCAGTGCATCTGCCAACTCATTTCCAAGGTCTCCTTGATGGGCTTTGACATGACTCCAATGAATGAATCCCGGCAGATACACCTCTAACGCGATGCTCATGGACCGCAGAATACGCATAGGCACATTTCCTTCAGAGTAGCCATTCCACCCTGCAGCCCCGTACCCCACTGATTGAGCATCGAAACAAAAATCCTGTCTGAGATCATGAGATGCAGCCATTGCCCACTCAATTGCACGAATGAGAGCTATGATCTCACCTGCCCGGGCATTGGCAATCGTGTTTCCACACCATCCAGCCATCATCGGATCAGTCTCCACAAGACCATGCTCATAATGCACAAAGCCATAATGGCCTTCATGACGACATAGCACCACAAACGACCAACTTGCCTCTTCGGACCTTTCCGGCATGAAGGACCCATCGGTATAAATCTCCAATGTGTCCGAGTTGCTCGGAACAATCGTCCGTAGCTCCTGCATCCCTTGGACAAGATCATCCGGCAGTAGAGGCCCTATCTCTGGCATTGGCAAGTTGCTAGCTGGAATCTTGCAAAACAAGGCATCAAGAAGAGGATGAAAATCAGGAAGGGAAATAGTCATTTCCTCATGTTTATCTCTGTCAAGGGCACCGGCCAAAGAAATCGCCTGCCGTGATGCCGGAATCGGCAAATGGTCAAACAGACTCAGAGACCGTGTCCGGTTTTGGTAGTCAAGGACAATCTCATTACTCCCAACACGGAAGTAGTCATCCATCTTCTCCTGGTCAACATTTAGCCACCAGATCGGATTCCCTGGCGGCGCCAATCTTGTGAAGATCGAAAAGTGAAAGTCAACGCTTCCCGCTTGCTCCCCAACAGCGACTGACCCTGGCAAAGTCCACCTCCTACATCGCCGCATCACATTGCGCTGTAACAAAGAGGAACCATCAGAGTCTTCGAAATATTCATTTGCCTGCCCCAAAGGAGTTGCAGTGTTTCCTCCATCACCTGGGGCATTCCTGGTCGAATGGATTGTAGCATGGCGAGAATGCTCATTGCCCGTTGCCGCACTCCAATCGTCAATGCACATGGTGTCGAGCACACGCATGGTAACATAGGACCCACTCGGCACACTGGGAACCTCATATGCCTTAAAGCTCATAGTCCCTTCGGGAGCATGCCAGAGCATGACAAAAGACGTAGACAACAAGGCCCAAAGCCGAATCCTACCATGTGCTATTACCCGATACACATCTAAGACCGTCGAATCAAATGCCGTTTGTACTGCCACACGCACTGTCTGATCCAGTAGCAGTAGGTCAACCAACAAATGAGTATACTCATTGTGCACAAAGGCAAGGACATGAAGATCACTCTCTGCATCAGCCTTGGCCGGTGGCTGTGGCTGAACAACCAAAAAAGCCCACTGCGCCGAGATTTCAAAGGAGCCAACCAGAGTCTCTGACCAATCCCAGTCCTCGATCTCCAGCAAGGAGGTAGCACCTTCTGCGTCAACAGAAGGCCCATCCGTACAGAAAATCCATGAGGTCAAAAGCAATGGTCTTGAAAGATCCAATCCAAGCATCCTTTGCACTCCATGTATGGCTCGAAACAACGGGTCAATGACTAGTCGCTCAGAAAGTGGTGAAAGTGATGCCCTCGGCCGAACCATGACCTGCATGCCAACAAAGGCATCCCCTACGGCCTCCTCAGTCATGCCAGTGCCGTTGCACATGTATCAGAAACAGGCTGAGCCAGAACCTGGCTCACCCGAGTGCTCCGCATCACCACATGTACAAAAGCACCATCAGGCGCAGCTGGGATCTGGAAAGCATGATAAACATGCACCTCTCCACCACTTCTCCAATGGAGCTGGAAGCTCTCTAGCAATGGACTATCGATAGGAAACTGACGCCCTGTAAAATGCTTCACAATTTCGGCTACTGTGGCAAGTAGTGGACACCGAACTGCTCCCCGCCTCAACACGCTATTAAACCTCAAATCCACCAACAGCGTTCGAAGACCGTTGGCAAGGTCAGAAGAACTAGCGCCTATCAAATGGAAGTCGATTTTGGAAGCACGAATAGCTGGCAGAGGGCCTCGAATCATCAAGAACCTACCTTCTGGAGGCTCGTCCCTCCAAGACTCTCGTACCCAGTTCCCCCAGGAAGGGATTTCAACTCTAAGATCCAGCATAACTGATGCATCATGCGATGTGATGCCAACCCCAGGTAATAACCAGATCTGAGCAATCCCACCTTGTGGTATTTGCAGCAAGCGAGCATCCAAGTAGCGTGTGACTTGGAAATAGACTGGGTCAACACCTAGCCTCTGCATATGAGCTCTCTGGCGCTCATCTACAGGTTCATGCTGTGTCGCCTGCATCATTTCCACCTCGTCATCGTCCACCGCCAAAGGAAGCTCGCATTCGTCTCCATCCCTGCTGATAGTCAGGTGGAGCTTCATACCAGGCAAGGTACGCCACTGTACCATACGCGGCAGCTCTTGCATATCATATTCAAGAATGCATGTGGTCTCGTAGTCCTCGCAGTCAATTGTCCTGTGGGCCTCTTCAATGACTTGCCAAGTGTCTGTCAACTCACCAACACCGATGGGCCACAACTGGAAATGGTCTGACTGCCAATGGTCTTCCACAATAAGAATTGCACGTTCCCCTTCACGAGGGTCCAGCAAAACTAGGATGTAGAGTGCATCTTCCCCAAACTGTTCGAAAGGCGTCACAAAGGGCTTGACAGCATACAACCCCACCTTCTGGTCAACTGGAAACCCTTCAAGCAACACTTCTCGTAAGTAGACGACCAAGGACTCATAGTCAAGAAGCCATGCATCTCCTGGAGTTCCTTTATGCCAGTCGTTGGGTACGACGCATACCACCAGTCCAGGCCATACACCCCGAGCCTCAAAACAGACAGACAGACAAACAGACAGAGACAGAGACAGAGACAGATACAAACAAACAAATAGACAGATGGACAGATAAACGGACAAATAAATATAGATAGATAGATAGATAGATAGATAGAAAATTAGATAATTAGTTAGATAGATAGATAGATAGATAGGAAGATAGGACAAGATAAGACTAACTACGAGAAAGAAAGATCAAACAAAAACAAACAATAAATAAATAGAGAAAGAAAGACATAAAGAACACAGAAAGGAATAGATAAATAGTTCTCCTCAAACCCTCCAGGCTTGTGGCTTTCTGTCCCCCGCGTGAGGTGTGACAAATTCTTTTCGGGCTTCAGCAGTGTAGATTTCCAATGTTCATGGATTGCAGGGTTTCGCTGGGACGAGGCAGGATTCACCTGCATGGAGTCTACATAGGTTTCTCGTGCCTTGTGCACATATGTATGTGTGACCAGCCTGGATCCAAGAAGTTTCCTTTTCGCATTTTGTTTATTTGTTTGAGCTTCTGAGCGCTTGGCAGCCTCAGTCGCAGGTGACCGCCTTCAACGCACAGAGGAGAGAGAGAGAGAGAGAGAGAGAGAGAGAGAGAGAGAGACAGAGAGAGACAGAGGGAGAGAGAGAGAGAGAGAGCTTCTGGGACTTTATAACAAACATGTACTGCAAAATGCGGCGGGGATAAAATCATGATTTTTGTGGCGCTCGTTTCCCCTTTGACGCTCGTCTGCCCGCGTTGAAGAGTTGCTCCTGATTTGCTCCTGTCTTGGATACCTTGCGCTAATCTTGATGTGCATCAACGATGACATGCTTCAAACCCAAATTGTATCAAGTTAATCCAAACTGCACCGCTTTACTCAGTTGTATTGATATATCCATGTGTGTCATCCCATCCTATCTTCGAATACTATACACTCCTATCAGATGTGTGTACCTCTTCAGGTCTTCACCATGGCAAGAAATGCCTGACCTTTCGACCCCTGAAACCTGCGAAGCAACACATGCAGCAGACGCATGTCCGGTGATCATGTTCTCCCAGGTGTTCATGACAGTGATATCTGACCGTCCGACCGTATGTGTTCGTCCAAAGGTGTCTAATAAGGGGTTGGACGTTGCCGGACTTTCTCCGGCGGAGAGATGCCTGGGTTCTCGAAATCGGACGCCAAGTTCTCACAAAGTCGGAGCTGGCCTCATCTGCGCTAGCTGCGATGTAAATATCAGAAATGATAAATGGTGTGAATTCCTGGAACAAAAAACTATAGAACTGACAGGTGTGGTCTTTCTGGAAAGGAGCTAAGACTGGTCTATTTGTCATAGAAACAGGCCGGTTGAAGACTCTGGCCCTTTCTGCTGATGTCCAAGACCTTTTGGCGGGTCACCCTACCCTGGGAGCATGAAAACACCGTGCGATCCAATCGTAAGAACGGAATGCTGAGGACAAGTTGCTATAATGACAGAACTCATGGTCCTCATGATGTTCCGTCTTCTGAATCGCGTCACGCAGTCGTTTGAGGTCTTGAACTTCTTGCTTTAAGGTCTTGTCATCCAAGGTGATCTTCACTTGCACAAGTTGAGCGCACCACCAGAGGAACATCCTTTTGGGATTCATCTCCAATGGTTGCAGAATCGTCCGGATGTAAATGATCATGAGAATCGTCACCAGGAAGAAAATGCAAATGCAACCAATCAAGTGGCAAGTGGGATCTTGGAACCGGTCCTTAGCTGACACTGGAGATTGGATTCATGTTTGGCTGCACGACCTAAAAGCATCCCACCAGTCACACGCACACATTTCGCAAGACACCACCTGGGTCCAAGTGATTTCGGACGTGTTTCAACAAGTAGATGTTGTTAGTAATGATTTGTTTGTTTGTTGTTTTTCACTCAAAAGCAGGTGTGATGACAAAAGGGCAAAAAAAAGGCCCCTCTTGGTCGAAAGGACAACCGACACGACCGCAACATGTTTTCGGTGAATCACGTCAGATTCGGCTACTCCCAAAACATTGGTAAAACTAACCTTTCGGACCCATTCCTATGCTCCTCAAAAAGACTAAACATGTCAGAAACCAAAAAATGTACCCATGCAGTGGTGCACCGTGCACCTTTCAATCCTTAGCGTTAGCCATTGAATCAGGCGTCTTCTGGGATGCTTTTGTCCTCTGCTTTCTGCTCATTTTGTTTGGTTTCCGGTTCCTCTTCCCAATGCAACGACTTCTTGTACGCCTCCTGGTAGTCGTCGTAGGCCCACTTCGATGCCGAAACCAAGCAAAGAACGCTGATCACCTCAGCCGAACGGCTGAAAACAAACCGGGACCAGTCCGGATACTGAGAGGCTGAATGTTTGGTTCTTGTGGCTCTGTGCCGAAACAACGAGTTGTCGAAGCAGGGAGTTCTCGGCTGTCTCAGGCAACCAAAAAGCCGCCTACACTACACCTCCTCAAAAGATTGACTTCACGGGTGCTTATCCCCAACGTCACCAAAGCCCTGAAATGGTTTTTCCAAAAAAACGAAAAAAACTGCGAAACCCGGCTTCGAAAAGATGGTTTGGCGTTTGTTGTTTGCTCCCGTGCAACCAAGCTTGACAAACTCCCTTAGCCGGCCGATCATGGATGTCCCCGTCCCCTATTGATGTGAGCCACAGCACTAGCCACAGCATATGGACCCGCCGAAAATGACTGTTCCGAACTCATCTGGTTCCCTGACCCTGTCTCACATGATCAACAGTTCTTTTCGACACTCGTCGCGGTTTTTCTCGATCGTTGCTTGGGGCTCACAGCACTCAGCATTTTATCTTCATGCCTCCTGCAGGTGAAGAGCACTTTTTCCAACATGAACGGTTGTTACAGTTGCTGGTTTATAGACTAGCTTTCAATCATGTTCTATCCTCTTTTTGCTTGGCTCAAACATAAGCCTGACTTTCTTCCTTGAGTGCTGAACACGCAAGGTTGACCTCCGCAAGACTCCCGCACTGGGTGCGAATCTATGGTAGTTTTTTGTAAGACCTGCGCAAAAGCAATACCAGGAATCAAATAATATTGCGAAGCAGGTGCGTATATGCCAACACGACCATAAAATCATGGTATAGCGCACACTTCAAGTAGTTGGATCTTGGGCGGCGGCGGCCGCGGCACGGAGGTGACCGATCGCAAGGCATATGTCTCCTGCTGAGGATGACCTCCCGTAAAGATCAGATAATGAGCCGTGGACATGGGAGTGATAGAAGGTACCCGCTGCAGTCCTGAAGCCATTTCCCCGGCAAGATTTTATTATTGATTGGCAAAGGCATGGAGAAAGTTGCGTCAAGGATTTGTAGGGGTTCATTCAGGTAGCTCAGGCAAGGGCTCAAGATCTAGAAGTGGTGGCCAACCTAAAGTCCACTCTTTTTGCGCGCTCTGACAGCACAAAACAAAAAACCTTCCACTCCTCCCCATATAGAGATCGTTTCCACTTGTCCCGAGCCCCGCGCTCAGCGCATCTATATAGAGCCCAAGGCCAAAGCCTAATTCTTGGAGCACAGCCAGATACTGATGAAGGGACGGGACGTGGTTGAAAGCTCCCATGTAGCATGAGCACAAGGTGGCACTCATGAACCCTGTCTTTTTTAGTTTGCACTTGTCTAAGTTAAAGGCAATCTGGTGATCAGCAGCCAATCGTAGCAAAGGGGTTAAGTAAAAAGCTAATAGCGCTAAAAGGCACATCTCGAAAGGCGCAAGTTAGAAAGTCTCACTGTCTCACGTGCTCACTGCTGGGCCTCGTATGGGTGTATCGGTCCACTAAACTCGCCCCGACAGCCAAACAAGCTGCTTGGCACTCCGCCACATATAGAGCCCCAGTTCTCGGGGCTTCATAGGCTGCTTCACCGCGATGCAAGTTCCGGATCTTGAGAAATTAACAGCAGCTTCAGACTCGCTACCGTGGAATCACCTGTGCCTGTGCCAGCTGCTGATCAAGTGTTGCCGGGGGGCCCGGGGCCTGCTTCTCACAAAACTTAACCGGCGTCCTTGTTTCTTGCGTTTCTTGCTGCCACGCCCTCCATTGATGTTCGCAAGAACACTGAAGAGTTGCTGGAACCCTTGACCCCGGCCTTCAAAAGAAGCCATTGACAATGAGGCGCGGGCGGCTGGCGTGCGATGCCAGCGTTCTCATCATGAACAAGCTGCTTCACGGATGGCGAGAGAACTGACGTGGCATAATTGCCCGTGCGCGCTGCCGTTGCGCGCAAGCCTTGTGCAAGCCTCTTCCCACCACTTCACCGATGATCCTGCGGTCAAACATCTTCTTTGTATGTTCGACTTGTGACTTCTGCTTACGTAAAGATTATTTTAGTACTATCCTGGGGATTTGACTGAGTCATCGCACGTGTTGCAGAGGAAACGGACCGGCGATACTTGGCAGCCAGGAAGTCCATTGGGAGACTCTGCCCGATAAGGGCTCAACATGCAGTCGCCGATGTGTTCTCTCACCCACGGAGCACAGGTGTCCATCTGCCCCAAAAACCCAAGCCCTTTGGTGGTTTTCAAGTTTTCAGTCAGGCATACCAGTGTACCCACTTGTTCTGCATCATTTCACACCGCATTCGCATTGAGCCTGTTAGTAGGCTGAAGGGCGCGGTGTTGTCACCAGTAATTGCAAGCGCAACTCTTCAAAAAAGTTGTTCCACGGGTGCGCCAGTGACTTCATGTGGCAAGGACGGCAGTGGCTTGGGGCCCTTGATGGACTTGGATGGAACGGCATTCGGCGGCCTTTTGTCCAACGAAGGTAGCAAATCTTCTGGGGCAAACGCAAGCAACAGAGTGCCATCTGGCAATGGCATATTGCGTGGGGAAAATGCAGACGTCCACTTTCGCGCAGATGGAACGCTCTGAAACGGACAGGTTTTTTACTTGCAGTGGCATTCCCATGCATTCAGCGCCACAAGCATCTTCCGGAAGAAAGTCCGCTACCATGACAGTCTTGAGCCAAGACATTCTTTGTTTGCGTTTTGAAAGATGCTCATTCGATGTGGCACGCTACACTGTTTCTTATCCTTGACTGGGTACAGGAGGTCCTCCGCAAGAAATGACCCGGTCATGTCAATATTTTGGCACTGTTCCGCTCAGAGTTTGCCTGCAGTGATGAGTGAAAAGGGTCAGAGCTTCTTTGCTTCCCCCACGCACACTTGGAGTTCTCTGAAGACGCTGCCCAGTCGCGCAAATCATACCAAAGAGGCAAAGAGGCGTCAATGCGCAGAGCCAGGGTGCACGAGAAACGGGGACGCAATGTCAGGTGCTCAGCTGGGACTGCACCTTTGCAGATCGGGGTTCTCTCTGCACATCGTCTCTCCGGATTGAGGTGTACTCAGCAGAGGAGCTGGAAGCGAGCTCTTTGCAAACTACAGAAGACCATTTTCAGTTGTCTTGCGCTGCCACCAGATACACATGCGTTCTTTGTAATTCACATGGAGCAACAACACACACACGCGCGCAAACATCACCAGGCGTCGGCATCAGTCAACAAGCCGAACAACATTGCGCAGCCTTCTTCTTAAAATGTGTGCTTTGGGCTCGCAAACTCCTGCTTCCAAGTCTCGGCGTTCATTGACGTGATGTCTTGGGGTCATGCAGTCAAGGCGTGGAAAGCGACCGACGCTCTGAGAATGAAGAAGACAATGATCACGGTGAGGTGCCTCTGGTACCGAACCTCAGCGAACCAGCGCTCCTTCCACCACCACAAGGGCTCCAGCCACTCACGAAATGCGACGACGGATTTTGGTTGTGGCTTTGGTGGGCCGTCTTTCTGTCGTTCAGACCTAGCATGCCAAGCACTTGTGCTACAAGCTCCCAAACTCGTGGACTTGCAATCAATGCCCGCTCCTCCAGCTCAACGGCCATGAGCTGTAGCAGCAGTTGGGCAGAATCCCAGCCGATCCCAGCCTCCGTGTTCAATACCACAACCATTTTGTGAGTTGGTGGCTTCCATGATGCAGGCAGCCGCGTGTCAAACCAGCGCTGCAAGAAGAGGGGAAGACTCATGCAATATCCTTACATGAGCGCGCTGCAGCACACGAAAAGTCCAAACAGCCCTTCAGATGAGCGACATGTGCATTTGCATTTGGCACTCAAAAGCATCGCGTGCTGGCGCTTGAGTGCAAATACTTGTACGTCCAAAGGCTACAATACAACCTTTGGGCACAAAAGCCGTTCAAAATAAAGTACTTGCTGCTTTGCAGGACATGGGTGTGATCAAGCGCCGCATGCGTGGGGACAACGCCACTGGCTGCTTTTTGAGGTTGGGGGCGAAGGCAGATCTGCGTGGGCCTCCGCAGGTCTTGTGAGGAAGGCTTTGCGGGACGGCCAGTCAGGCATGCACGGCACAAGCTTCGAAGTAGGAGCCGTTTGCAGACTTTGCCAGCCGCAGGCGCAGACAGCTACTTTGCCAGCCGCAGGCGCAGACAGCTTGCTAACTTTGCTCCTTCCAGATTCTGCGGCGGAAGATTTGATGTGATGTTAGCGAAGCAGGTGGGGTTCTATGCGTCTTCTCGCCTCAGAGGTATTTCTGTCTGGCGGTGGCCAAGGCGGTAGTTCCTGAGGCCGTGCTCCTGGCTCGCGATGACTAACTGCGAGTATTTGCTTGAAGAGGACGGAGGCCAGGTCTGATTGTTTGCCACCGCCTGTGAGGTGAGAGTTGTCGGATCTTATCAAAGCGGGGGGTCAACTCCGTCTTCTCCTCTCTCCCCTCGACCACCTCAACCGCGAGCGCCAGATCGCAGTCGGCACTGCCGGACCTCAACCAGGAGCTACCGGACCTCCACCACGAGCGCTAGATCACAGTGGGCACCGCCGGCCAGGCCCTCAAACGCGGGCGCTAGATCGCAGTAGGCCCAGACCTCAACCGCGAGCGCTAAATGGCAGCGTATAATAAGACAGTCAAAGGAATCTCATGGGTAAGTGTCGAGCAGTCATGAGCAGTCAAGCCTTCCCACCATCCCACCAGTCCCAGTTACAACGGCCGTAATGGGAAGAGGATTCCAGAAGGTCACCGATGGAATGATGCCCAAACCCGGAAGAACTTGGTTCTCGAAGCACGTGATGAGCAAAGGAGGCACCTGTAGAAATGCCGTGTTTATCCTTAGCACGCAGTGCTCACCAAACGTGTGAGACCGGAAAATCTGATCGGCAGGTGCGAAGCACTATAGCCTTCGGTCGTTTAGGGGTTGAAACAACACCAGCGGGTGTCACCCAGACCCTGAAGCCAAGGATCATCATGAGCCACAAGACCCTGAAGGACATGTCAACAAAAAGGAAGGAGCCACCGTGCTCAGAGGCCCACCTGGCAAGACGGTGTGCTGTGGCACAGTGACGAATCACCGTTGTCCATCTAACAACGTTTGGGGTGACTACGCCATCTGAAACCTCCCAAAGTGAAATGAATACTGCAAAGGCTTCCAGTCCAAGTCGGCTCGTTGAAGACCTTGCAGTCGCAGGTCCATGAACACCTTATCTGGGGGGAAAGATCTGACACAGTACTTTTTTGCAATCATCCTGACCTGAGGATGCCTCTCAGCGCTACAAGGCCACACATGCGGTGAAATGCATAAGGCACAAAGACCATGAGGAGGATCCTCACTCAGCCAAAAGGACTGGCTGCAAAGAACAACTCAAAAGTCATCTCATAAAAACAATTGGGTCTATCTTATTACCTTAAACAATGGATGATGATGATGGTTAAAATAATGATACTTGTTTACTGACTGTTACAGGTAATAGGACAGACCCCAAATATACAGACTTCAAAAGGTGGGCCTCTGCTTGGCTCAAGAATCAGGAAGACCAGCAGAAAAATAATGAAGCAAAGCCAACCAAAAACATGGAGTCTCAAGGAAGCATTGACGTATGAAGTTGCCATGGCATTGGTGAGCCACTCCTGATCAGCCACGATGGATCACGAGGGATCTTATGGGACCTCTACTGCTGATGGGTGATCCAGAAGGCCACGGTAATCCGGGAAACATGGGGATTCTTCCTTGGGCAGACCCGACTGTCACTGCAACATCTGTAAACAATCATTATGAATGTTGAGTAGAACAGTTATCAGGAGTGATAAGGTTATAACTAGAATTGGGCCGTGTTGAACAAGTGGACCAAGTCTGAGAATACCAAAGGAAGCTCCAAAGCTTGTCGTGCTTAGCGACCCTCAGAATCTGCCTCAACAAACAAAAAGGTGAACATCTCAGTCATCTCTCCTGCAAGACATTTCTTAGGGATAAATCTGCTGAACACCGAGGTGTTAGCACCAATGATACGTTTCTGTTTCAGCCCAGAATCCGGGAGGCCAGACCATTTCTTGAAAGCCTCCTTGTAATCAAGGCGCCACGTATCCTGGACTTCTTGCCACAAGATGGCGACGTGATGCCTTCTCAGCAGCCTTGCTGCAAGCATCTCGGCATTCCAGCCATAGGGGTCCACAGTTGTCAAAGGCTTTTGCATGACCTCGAGTTGCTGAGTCCTACATACACAACATCGCTCAAAATGCTTTGAGCACCTACCCCAAAATATAAGGCATTGTTTTTGTGTTTACCCTGGCAATCTTGTCTCAGCACACAAACACGCTGGGCGTCTTAAAACAGAAAGAACATATGTAATCTGCAGGACTTAGTTTTTGGTGCCACTTAACATATTGGATGTATGTGGGTTGATGTGGGTTGCAATACATTTGCCTTGATCCCACCGGTATTTCCAGGATTTACCAAGTGGTGAACTGGCCACCTCAGTTGAAGTCATGGCCCAATGGCATGGCGAAACGCTTTGAGTGGATGATAGCCTTTCAAAGGTTTCTCACCTGCCCTGCCAGACCAGGGGGTTCCTGCCCTGTCACTTTGAGGATGCTCACGCTGAAGAAACAGTGAAGAGCTAGGGTTTTTGCCTTACCTGGAAAGCGTTCCAGCTTGCCTTTTGAAGCTTTTGAAGGTCTTAGACTTCCAATTCCGATTTTCATCCTTAATAGCTCTGAACACCAAAACAAACACCACTTGGCAATTAAGCCAAATGAGGTTCAACCGACCATGGTTCGCCGATGGTATCGCCGCTGCCAACTTCGAACACCGCAAGTACAGTCACACAAAACATCTTCCTCGGTCCGAAGGACCATATAGAGTTGCACAAGCTCTTTGAAGTCGATGGAGGCGTGGTCGTGTGCATCCCTATCCTGTGCGTCACACATCAGGACGGTCTGTGGCTCCAACAGGCCCAGCATCGTAAAGGCGCCGGGGGCTTGCGCCAAGACCCAAACGACACCATCCATCTCGTTGCCTCAGGTCTCACAACTACTTGGACTTTGAAGATGAGCAACCAAACACACTGCTTCTTCGGGGATCTTTTGATGAGATATGATGAGATGTGAAGATGGGGATCCATTTTCTCTTCTGTTGCGAGATACCGCCGCATTTCTCACTCTTCTTCATCAACATCAACTGATCTTTGTCCAAGTGAATATCGTTACGGACCAAGTCATGCAGGACTGTCCGCGCAAAGGCCTCTCGCACTTCCTTGTGATAGCCTTCCTTCTCTGGTACCACCTCGCAAACTAAATCTCCACTGCCCCAAAGGAATCCACTCTCCAATAGGATCCGAACGATGTCCACCTGACGATTGAGCACAATAATGCACAATGTCTGCAGCCAAACTGCAAACGTTCCCAACAACTTATTGAATAGATCTACTGCTGTGTTATCGGTTCTTGTTTCAGGATCCATGCTAGCTTGTGAGGTATGATTTTCCAAGAGTCCTTTGTGTATCGACTTATCTCAAACAATCACATGCCATGCACTATGCAGCCCCCAAACTGCTGACCGTAGGGAAGATTGATCTGTGTGTGGTCCCATTGGGAGGGCATGTCATGGATTGGAAAACGGGATGTCTATGTCATCAGCTCAGCTCCAAAGGCTTAGACACGCTGCCGCTGGACGAGCGCACGTCGAAGTCGTCACGAGTCGTGGCGGACCGTCTGTGCGCCGAGCCACGCGTCTTTGTATCATCGAATCTTGGTCTCCCACATCCCACTTCTCGTACAGAAAGCCCATGAGCACCCGCTCATTGTTTTTTCGTGTCATGCGTAAAGCCAGCCCCAGCACCTTCCAAACAATGCAGCAAAGTGACGTTTTGGCGTTTTGGGAAATTGATTCTTATTCCCCGGGAAATAACTTATTGAAACGCATCACATGTCCCAAAGCAACATAAAGTAACTTATTGGCCTGACTAAGTTTTTTGGTGTGTGGCATCACGGTCTCTAAGGTACATGGAACTGGATGAAGATGTTTCATGCGAAATAACTTTATCAATAATATTCTTCATGGCTTGAACATGTTAATGTCACAACAAACATTGATGAATATTATTCATTCATGGGTGTTCGATGGTGGTTGATGGTGTTCTTGATATCGAACTGTTTGTTTATTCGATGATGCATGGCATCTTCATTTTTCAAATTGTAATCTTCGTGCACAGTGTAGACTGCTCATGATTTTCTATCTTTATGTAGAGGTCAATGATTTGTATGATTTTGTTTACCTCCGAAAGCTTCACTCCATTCGGTCTTCAAGCATTCAAAGGAGTACCTCAACAGGCCTCAAAATGACCAACAATCACATATCAATCAGTTCAATCAAAAAGGGCCTGATGTCCATTGATGTCCAGTTAAGCAATACTCTGTTAGACTTACGTTTTGGAGCGAACTGACAAATCTGTTCTTCAAAAAGGATTTCCGATTGGCGTATTTCGCAACTTTCCCCAAGACTTCCCCCTAAGGAGCAAGAGTCGCCAATAAATGGCTCCACAACTGAGGACAGGGGGCGGTTCGAAGTAAGTAAAGCCAACCGATCCAACAGTCAGTTGGATCCAACAGCCGCCGGGGAACTGTGTTGTGCATCGTTTTCATGGTTTCAGTGTCAGTGAGGCTCTCGTACTTGGGTTCTTGGTATTGCACGTGACTTTTGGCCAAGTATTCCAAATCACTGCAACGAATCTGAGAGTAGTTGTCATTGGTCTGGTTCAAGTTGTGGACGTATGCATTGCTTCCCCTCCAGCTTTGAAGCAAGTGCTTCAATTTCTCATAATCACCTCCAGCATTGAAGAAACAAATGCATCTGCAAACTCCCCAGGAGGGTATTCTGAATAGAAGGGCAAACCACACACTCACCTAATTAGAAAAAAGGAGACTCTCTTTGTTCAATCCAGAGTTGCCATCAATACTATGTATTGTACTTTTCCAAATACAGTAATTAGGTCTTACTTACATCACAACCGGACCCTAAGCCATCAAATACATGAGCTTGAATAATGAATCAAATCATGTCGCCATGAAGAATGTACTGCTTCAACTTGTCGCGCTCCTTCTCCAACTTCGCCTGAGCCACGTTTCCGGTCATGCGCAGCTTGCCCATTTGCTGGCCGGCTGGGGACTGTCGGCTTGTTACCTTCAAGTCCTTCAAGTAGAATCAGTTTTTACAAGTGCTGCCATTAATAAGCCAAGTTTTTTCAAAGGGTTTAAGGCGACTGGACCGCCAGCCCAGATTAAGATTCATGAATGATAGAAATTCACGTGTTGGAGTATGATGTTCTCACCTACAGCACCGTTGCCCTAAAAACACTCGTCCCAGCATCCCAGGCCCAGGTCCGAAACCATCGCCCCTCACTAGGAGGTTCACCGCTCTATTGACGCAGGGAAAAGAACCTCCCTTCATCGACTCCGAAAAGAATTCCCCTCAGGCCCGAAGAGATATCGTAAGTCTCCGTATCTGAGATATCTTCCATTTCTTACTCCAACCAGTTGCTCCATATAGATCCGATTCATCAAGCATGGCTCATGTGAAAACAACAAGCAAATCCTGGATGGCACAGATTGGTTTCCCTCTGTGCCTTTTGAGTTCAACCCCTGTGGCCAAGCGATTTTCACATCTATACCGCTTCCCTGTGGTTTTCGCCCAAGCAGAGTGGGTCAGTGGGTACGCTGGTGGTTTAACCCAGATGAAGCAGACCACAACACTCACAAGCGACCTGGTCACCCCAGGTATGAAGCACAAACCAACCTTTTCACCCCAAGCACCTCTCACATCACTTGAATGTGACTGTGTCGCCCTGACATCCCATTCCGCCACCATCGTCTAACCATCCCAAAACCAGTGAGTCATGTACTAGCCACCCCAAAATCTATCCATCTACCAGTAAATCAGTTTTGAAATGAGCCGCCACATCTCGCTGATGCTCGCAGTTCTCCGGTGTCGCTGGGCTTTGCTTCGAGGTGGAGGAGGCCAGCAAGGCACGAGAAGCAGCCAAAACATCTCTGGTCAAGGGCTGCTTGCGCACATCCTCCCAAGGCCACCGGTGACGCCCTTTGCTTTGGTTCCGCACAAAGAGCGGGTTTGAACTACGCTATAGCTCGCAGCAGAAGGAAACATGAAGTACCTTGATAACACAATCAACAAAGGGATCCTTTTGCACGACCCCAAAAACGGAGGCCCAAAGAAAGTCAACAGTATAATGAGCTTACTCCAGCTTCTTCAAAGTGCCCACTTTGGAGCGCCCTCAAAGGTTTCGTTTGAGAGAGTCAAGTGGTAAGTGACCCAAAATCCCAAACACGTTCAGACCAAAGTCAAGTGGCACAACACTAGTGGCTCAATATCTGCCCTAATCAAACGTGTCCTTCCATCAGGAAATTTCCTTCCTGTACTCTCATCAGCTAGGACATGTACAAGGATTCAGTGTTTCTCTCTCTCTCTATATATATATATCTATGGATCCACATACCGAAGGACAGGTGTTCGACTCCTTTTTGGAGGGTGAAGTGAGAGTCCCGTCGCACCTTCCCATGGGGTCTATGGATCACTAGGGCGGGTTTTGGGATCAGAGAGTTGTTGGTCTATTTTCCCAAACATTCCAGGGGGTCTGTCACTGGGAGGTCTCGGTCTCCGTATTTGCTTCACATCCTCCGCATGGCGCTTCGGCGCCAAAAAACTCGAGTTGCGGAGTCCTCCTTTTCAGAGCCCCCAGAGCCGAGCCCTTTCGTGCCCGGGAGGTCTTGCTCCATGTCCAAACCAACTACACCCCGGGAAGAGACCCACATGGAACCTGAAAACCACTGGGTTGTAGAGGAAAATAGAATTGTCACCCAAATTTAGGTCCATGACATCAGGTTCCATGTGGGTCTCTTCCCGGGTGTATCTACCAAAGAAATTCATTCATGCCTAAGTCTGACTCCTGCAAAAACAGGTGAATTATGGTGAACCTTTTCCACCTTTGGATTTGAGTGGGACAACCACTCCCGAACAAAAGGTTAGAAGGTTATTCATTGTTATTCACTTTTCCAGGGTTACGGTGGGAGGTTAAGAGGTTATTATCCACTTTTCCTGGGTAGGAGGATCAATAAAGGTACCATGACCATCCTTTGGAGATCCCCGATAATAGTAGTGGGCTGGGTAGCCCACAAAGGACACCCAAGCAGGATGGTCCTGCTAGCTGTATTCCAACCCAACAACCCACTGCGAAACCTTCAGCCCTGGAGTCCACCTTTGCAATGTCCTCGCCTCTTCAGAAAGCCAAGACCCAACAAAAATGGCCAGTACTGGCCAGAGCTGCATGCAACGTGGTTGACCTTAGCCGGCCACGTCATGGCGTCTGAGGAGGCCGTGACATCGGACATCGGTCCCACGTGCGCAGACGTGATGCACAGGACAGTGGGGCGGGACAAGGGGAGCGCGAGAAGCGATCTGCAGTTGGAACGCTGTTGTTTTCACCTGTCTGACCTGTTCTTCGGACCTACCTCTTTTGACCCTGGACATTGAGGGACTCAATTGCTTAATAACGCTGATTCCCTCAGCAAAGCCAAGCGTTTTGATGGTAGCTCGAACATCTGTCGACTTATAGGCGCTACAATCAGCAGAAACAAAAGAAACCCCGATTTAAACTTGTTGGAAGGAATAATTATGTATTCCTCTCGCACAGGAAAAGCTACATCTTCAAGTAGCAGACAGTTGCTCTACATATTGAACACACTGTCTATTCCCTCGTGATCTCAACCGAAGCCTGCCTGAAAAGGGAAACAAACCTGGCAATTTTCTTGGCAAATAGCACCAAAGTCAAACCAGTACGATCTGAAGCCCCACAGCCTTTTCCGTTGTTGTTTCATGTTGTTTCTCCGCATACCTTCCCAAAGCATTTGTCACTTGTTGCTGGGACGTCCCACAGAATCACATCTGGATCTGTTGGTGGAATGTACATCCAGAACATCTCCGGATTCAGCCAGAACATCTCTGTCGCTGGGATGCATCACACAAAGATCGACCGATCACGACCGGACAAGGCTCTCACCGGTGGCCAGGTCCCATAGGCCGATCGTATGCCACTTGAGCAGGAGTGAGCTGAAGCACACGAGACTCACCAGACTGAGGAGTCTTCTTATGTCAGAGTCCAAGGCTTTACAGGTGATGATATGTGATATGTTGGCAAAAAGAAGTTGATGTTGATCTGGAAAATATGTTGTTCGTTGCAGTAGTCATCTTGCGCCACAAGGCTCCCAAAGCCAACTTTCGGGCATCAGGACCAGATTCAACAAAAAACTGCACTGACTGCCAAGAGAACAACTGTCAGCACCCCAAAAATTGCAGTGCAATGCTCAACAGCTGCTGATTGAATCAGCGGAGTCCCTTCCCTGGTGAACAGTGCGCCCAAAGTGGGATCAATCAGTGCGACGCTTCCCTTGCATCCATGAACACGATGACGGGCACAGGATGTCAGAAAAAAGAACTATTGTTCTACTTGTTTTTCTCTGTTGGACTACCTCGCATTCTCTGATATATCGGGCGCTGATTGAATTTGCAGCTGTGGAACAGTGCACAAGCAAATTGCAAATGATGCCTATCTTCAACGCCACCAACTCACCCAAAATATCCTCCACTATAGCAACCAAAAACACCATTACTGTAAGTCTACTAGTTTACCAGCAATTGCGTACCGTCTGTCCCCAAAACACCCCTGAATAACTCACTTTGGCTCACAGAAACAAACTTCAGCCAGCAGGTTCCTCTCGTACCTTTCATAGAATTGGCTGGAATTTGTGCGACAAAACGTGCTCGGAAGAATCCAGTCGAACCAAGCCCACAAAGTTCATACTTGTTGATGCAGAAGGTGTTTTCCAAGCATTTCACAACGACTGTTTACAACTCTCTAAGCATGCAACAGATCCATCATGGGAAGACTCTAAACAAAACTGCACACTTTCATACAACTTCCCTCCGAATCTATCCTCGACACAAGGATACGCAAATTGAGCCTCCCTGCGATCAAGTCTTCAGCCCATTGGAGTGCTGGGTGCCTGATGAGCTGGATGAGAAATCTGTGGAGAACAGGCTCCCAAATGAGACTCCATCAAAGTGTGAACCTCAAAGAAACATACAGGGACAGGGAATTGCATCCAAATCTCAACAGGTGAACCCGATGGGGCGAAGTGGTTCTCAAACAGGTTCGGCCATGCAACTTGCCACAAAGGGTCGGGTCGGCCATGCAAATGGTCACCGTTGTGCTGTCTCCACTCTTTCGGAGCTGTCTCCGACCGATGAGGCACGGTCAATCTAGGAGAAACCCCCATATGTCGACTTCTCAACTATGGCCATAATACATCAGGACAACCGCAAAAAAAAAAGAAAATAAAATACTATATAATACTATATATATTAAATGACATTAAAAGATGAACATAATAGTACAAGTACCTGCTTGTTGAATGATGATATGTAAAAATCAGCCAGCCCGAAACTTGTGACCTGTGCCACTCCACACACCATCACTTCCAAGCGGTCGCCCTTAATGCCCATGGGCCACCTGAACACTCAAGGCACCTCCTCTGGGCCAATCATCTCCATGGCACCATATGGCTTGGCGGCTTGGCGTTTTTGTGCTACTCTCTTCCTGTGTTTATAAAGCAATGAGCGGATCGAGCCTCAACTCTGTTTGACCCTGGAGTGTCAGCGGCCTCAGCCCTGTGTCACACATGGAGATTTGCTCAAAAAGATCCTCAGCTTCCTGAGACGAATTGTGCCACGGTGGTACACTTGAACCTCGCAGCAGTCGTTTTTTCAACTGAACCCTCTCACAAACAGATCGGCTTGCAGGCAACTTTAGTGCAATGTTATCGTCTGCATCTCTGGACGTCATTTTAGAAAGATAGTGGCAGCCACCCGTGGATACACTACTGCCACCTCCAAACTTCATGCCGTTTCACCAGGAAACACACGGGTCTTCGGGCTTCTCCACAGTGCAATAAAGCTCCGAAAGCGCTTCTTTTTCGTCCGCAGGGCTCTGGTTTCTCTCCTTGGCCCTCGCACAAGGAGGTGGACAGAGCTAATTCTGCGGACTGTGTCGCCCGGTCGGCTGGTCCAGAAACTCTGAAGAGGGCACCAAATAGACTTTGTTTCGTTAGCTGGTCCACGCACGGCGTGATTTATTATCGTGTCATATTGTGCATGGTGGCTTCCAGCACCTATAGATCTATCTAGCACCTATTTATCAAGCCGTTGGGATTGGCCCACCTTCTGTGCGGACCGCAGACCAGGCCAGTGGCCACAGCTCGGATCGTTAGCGGCAAGGCTGGCCGATGAGCAACACTTCGATGAGTTGGCGGATCTCTATGTGCTCAATTCACTAAATGAATCTTGGTTTGAATTTGTGCTCCAGAATCCGACAATTGATCTCAAATAATGAACATATTGAAGGGCCATTGCTTGCAGTATCTTTGATGGTGGATGGTGGTCGGATGTCTTTTCTCAAGAAGACCGCAGGTCTTGATAGACAGGACTTTTGATCAAATGAGTGACATTCCTCCGGATCAGTGGCTAAGCACATAGACCTCGTAAAAAGGTGGTTGACCCAAGGCTTAGATATAGAGCATCCTTTTTCACCTTATGTATCTTGTCCCATCAACCTCCGCAGATATCCACATCCCATTCGTGGCTCATCTCAGCACCAGTCCATGTTGAAGCCCAACGGGCCAGCGTTGCGGATAATGCTCCAAGCGGATCCGGTGTCAAGTTGGACAGGAAAAGGCAAGGTTGTGATCTCCTTCTTCAGCCGTTTTTGGACATTGGATGAACACTTTCATTATACGTATGACTTGCTGCGAAGGGAAAAACAAAAGCTCTCTCTCTGCTCCGGCTTGACCGGATGCAGCTTCATTGCTGGACAGCCCCAAATTCACAGCATTTGAAGACAATAAAAGAGGGGTCCGGCTCTTGAAAAAAGAGCAGGGTGATCCTACACTACAGGCAGGCCCCCAAAAACAGGCAACCTCATCAACCTCTAAGAGTTATATAATTCACAAATGAGCTCCACTGTTGCACTATATGTCACACTTAGCTGAGTTGACCAAATCGGTAACCTTGCCCTCACGAGTTGAAGCTGACACCGCGATGCAAGGCAATCAGTGCCAAGTATGGAGCTATTCGCCTGGCACCGTCGAAGCTGAAGAGTTCTCACCATAACAGGATTCTGTGGACAGACTTGGCAGATTTGGTACATGGTAAGCTTCATATGAACAATATATGAACATCAACAAGATGAGAAACTTGCTGAACATGAAGGACCTCTGATGCCCCACACGGCTCAAAGCTCGCTCCACCCAGACCTATAGAATCGTCCACGCGGTGCAAGTGACGCCGTGTCCTCCCGCCTCGAAGCTTCGAAGCGCTGCTCCAAGCAGCTCCCCGGAGTGGCGGTCTCAGCTCCTTTGCAGTCGGTCGACTCGACGGAGCATGCCCCAAGTGTCTGGAACTCAAACATCAAGCCAATGCACATTCTCAAAGACTCCACCATCTCCTGTCTGCTCATGTTTTATCTTCAAAGCCTGGCACGTCTCTCGTGAGGTTTCCAAAACATTCAGCACACACTTGGCTCATCTCAGCCGGTTCGACAAACAACGACACTGCAGGAAATATAAAGCATCACCACCACTCGAAGGCATGCGTTTCTGGGCCCTTGGCCTCTTCAGCCCTTACTTCTGGCTATCATTGGGCCTCGGCCAAGACACTGAAGCCACAAGTGATGCGGGAGAAAAACGCTGCGAATAGAAAACAAACCTTCAACAGTGCAATGCACTCAACAAATTCCATTATAAAAACAACGTGGATAGAAAACAAGCCTCCAACAGTGCCATGCATTAATTCAACAAATCCCGTTCATTTCAAAAAACAACTTGGACCTTCTGAGAGACCCGAAGCGTTGGACACTTCCACCTGCCATTTCGACCGCTCTCTCTCCACCTGGGATCCCCCTGCAGCTGCTCTTTGGGCGTCGCCTCGGAGCTCCGCCACACCTTTAGGACACCGCTACCGCCGCCGGACACCAGCGTGGCGGCATCCATGCGCACAAGGGCGTACACGGAAGCGCCGTCGCCATGCAGGACCTGGTTACACGCACCGGTCACCAGATTCCACAAGCGGATCGTTTGGTCGCCGCTGCCGCTGGCCAAAGTGCGGGAGCACAGACGGGCGAGCGCCCATACCGTGTCAGTGTGTCCCGTCAGGGTGAGGCGGCAGGTGGCCGTCTCCAGGCACCAGACTTTGATGGTCCAGTCGGTGCCGCCTGAGGCCACGCTGCCGTGAGACAACCTCACCAGGGCAAGTATCGGGCCTTTGTGTCCTTCCAGCGTCGACAGGCATTGTTCCGTGCGCCGATCCCATACCTTGACGGTGCCGTCGAGACTGGCGCTGGCCAGGAGCGTCGCGCTGACCCTGCGCACGGCCCTTACCCAATCGTCGTGCCCGCGCAACGTGCAGACGCATCGGCCGGAGGCGACCTCCCAGAATCGGATGGTGTTGTCATAGCCTCCGGTCGCGATCTGGTCGTCTCCCCAGCGGCAAAGGGCACGAACGTCGCCGTGCTGCGTGGCGATGGTCGCCTTGCACCGGCCGGACTGCAGGTCCCACAGCTTCACCTGGCCCGATCCGTCGCCAGAGGCCACGTTGAAGCGGTCGACCAGGCACAGGGTGTGGACGTCGTCGCTGTGTCCGGTGAGCGTGGCGGTGCAGGTGCCCGTCATCAGGTCCCAGACCCTCAGGGTGCGGTCCTCGCTGCAGCTAACGGCCGTGGCGGTGCCGGTCCTGATGGCCTGCCTTACGTGGCGGTCTGGAGCGAGCTCTCCTGGACCGACAAGGCCGCGCACGGCCACGAAGTTGCGTTGAAGGGCGTTTAGTGTGAAGGGCGTCTTTGTTTTTGAAAAAGGATGATATTGAATTATTGAAATCTGCAACTTGAATGCAAATTGAGACGAACTCGAGTTCATGAAACTAACTTCAAGTCACACGTGTCACGTGTGTGAACAACTCCTTGTTCTCTGCGGAAAATGGAGCTGATTCACCCTATGCGTAATCTATGGTGCAGTTCTTAGTGGTTCTCGGCTCCCTTGCCATCCGACACTTTCTCGGGGTGTGTGGGGGTGGAGAAGGACGAACGATGTTGATCAATCTATTGGTTGACATGTCAGGATGTTTGTTTGTTTTTTGTGGTTGGGAATACCTTCGGGTGACTACACCAATCGGTCCGAGTTTTGGGGTTCAAGCATGCGCAGGTTCATGCGTGGCTTGCTTTCGTAGTGTTACTTATTGTTAGTTCATGTCAATTCGTCTGTCGGGGTTTGACTTTCTTTTTTCGTGGCCCGGTCATGCCCGGTCCTTTGTCTGGTTTCTTTGTTTGTGACCCCCGCTACTTGGACGACTTGTTGGATCTAGGCACTCGCTGGTGGACTGATGTTTGGGTTGCTTGGTCTTGCACATATTGGACTTCGAGTGTTTAGAAGAGTTTTCAGACTTGTTGAGCAATTTGAAATATTGTCGGGATGACATTTGAAGATTGTTGAAAGATTGCTTCTTTTCTGGACAAAGGGATTTGAAACTGGATTTGAAACTTAATGCAAATTGAGAGAAACATCTCGAATGCATGAAGCTATTTCACGCCACATGTGTGAACAACTCCTTGCCCTCCGTGGAAAATGGAGCTGATTCACCCTGTGCGCAATCCATGGTGCAGTGGTTGTGCGACATATTTATTGAGAAGTGCATGACACTATAGTATCACTATAGATGACACCTCGCCCATTCTTGCCAGAATATTGTGACCAATCAATGAAACACAGCACAAGTGTGCCCAAATGTCCTCTGCCGCCCATGCCTGACGTCCAACACGACTGCAACACGCAAGCGTTCTTCAAGACCTCACGAACCCTCTGAAACCCCACAGTCCACCACATGCTTCAGGTGCCTCGCCATCATTATCGTCTATGCAGAAGTCGACCAAGGTCTTGGAGCGTTGCTCGGCCTCCTCCAGTGCCTGACGACTTGGGCGACTTCTTTGAACACCAACACAGCTGAAGGACTCGGCACCTCCCTGCGACTCTTCGGGCCTTGCAGCCTCGGTCACCGAGCTTGTTGAGCTGGATGTGGAGACTCTCCAACTCGCTGCGGTCCAAGGCATCCGCCAACGCCTCCACAAGCTGGACTCCAGTCATCAAGTCAAACATGGCGCATTCACATCTTGATCCTTCAAGGAGAAAACAACATTATTCAGCAAATCATCAATGGGCAATATGCGTTCTAAGTTGTTTTTTGACACCGTATCCTTATATCCTTCGCTGGGAGCTGGGACGAATTAAACGGCTGACAATTCCTGAGGGTTCAAGGTGGTCTGAAGAGAGGAGCCAGGTTTTCTGCACCACCTGCCCAACAAAACAACTGAAACCGAAAGGGCGTCATCTCACATCTAACCTCAGGCCCTATTGTTTACGATGTCACGCCTCACGGACATGCTCTGGATGCTTTTGCAAGTCATGCCATGACCACCGGTTGTCTGAGGCAGGCCCTTTGCGTTCAGTACTGCCTTCAGTTTAGCCTTCGTTGTGATTGCCGGGAAGATTGTTGCTTTCATGAACTTGCATTGGCACGGATGGGGGGTGGTAGGGCGCCAAAATTTCGAACATAGTGCTGTCATGAACGTGTATGTTTTTACTGTGAAACTTGCTAAGACAACAAATGCCTGAACTTGTTGGTTGACGCGTTGGACTCCTGAAGACTTGTGTGTCCCAGGAACTGAGATTCACATGGATTTCACCCATCGGCTCAGCAACACAACAGTTGCTACAACACGTAGTCAGTAGCAAGAGGGGTTGTAAAGCGGTGCCTTGCCTTTGCTGCAGAGTTACATGATGCAAACAATAAAACGACTTCACAACACAACATTTTTGCCCGTCTTGACCTGCAGTAAACAACAAAAAACATTTGTTCAGAACAACTCGTCAGATGATTTAGGGCCCTGCAGGGTGGTGTGGCTATGTCTTTGGACCACCAGAATCATGCCGTCCTGTAAAGAAACCAGGCCTCACCACCCACATCGGCAATGTCATTCGCATCTAAAATCAAGGCCATGAGGCTTCGATGGCTTTTGAGGCCCAAGGCGACGGCCTGGCAGGCGTTGCTGGGCATATAAGTGTCCTCACACTCCCAAAGTTCCACAGCAATAAAGTTTTCTTGCTCGCTTAGCCGGCCACACCGCACACCTTTCCAGGATGAAGATCAACAGGGTGCCAAAATACGACAGTCTAACGCATAAAATTGATCTACCAATTGACCTGATCTACAGGAGTCTTCTCTTCGTCCGTGCAACACATCAACACGCTGCTGGCCTTGGCTCCGTTGTCGCCGAACTGATTTCGCCGGACGCTGAGCTCGCGCAAAGATCGGTTCTCGGTGAGCATGGTGCCCAGCGCCTGCAGAATGAGACTCATCTTGCACTGGCAATTTGGGAGCGGACATTCAAAAGATTCACCGTTGGATGGCCTTTTGAACCAAGATTGCAATATCACTTGCCATCTATCCATCGCTCAAGCCCCCAAAAGGTTCAAAATTCAAACCACACCACTATGTCACTATGTGTCGCAAGGGAAGGGTTCACGCTCTGCCTACTTTTGCATAATATGATGCCAAGACCAAAGAGAAGAATAATGAGGCCAGCGGCGCAGCCAACATGCAACCTTCAACTCCAAGTTGAACTGCCTTGAGATATTGAAATTTCTAACCCAAGAATCGCATCATAGATGGCAATTGTTTCGTGTGGAAAGACTGTAGGCATGGGTCCAACTTGCATGCTTTCCTTTGTGAGTTCTCATGAACCGCTCGTCAGCTGCTCAATGTATTCACCCAACTGCGCCACCATGCTCTCTTGCAACTTGCAACAGCCTGTCATGTCCTTAAAAAAGGACGATACCAAACCAACAGAACTCACACTTGTGAGCATAGGTGAACACATGTTTCACTCTTCAGTCACACTTAGTTTGCGAGTGTGCACATACTCAGTTCTCAATAAAGGTTTGAACGTTCAGCTAAGACCTCCCAACCACACTCTCTCTCTCTCTCTCACGCAATATCATCCCTGCATGCATTGCGTCAAAGCAACCCATGATCCAAATTGATCCACTTTGTACACCCACTACATGGCACACGCAACATAGCTCTGCAAGACTGACGCGCGTCCGAACAATGGAGGGTGGTCCATTTCCTGGTCCTGGCCTCGGCTCCTTTATCTCCAAAGCTGTTGCTATCCAAGACCAAACATTCCAAGCGAGTGCTTGGTTGAAAACATCTCGCAAGAGCCTCACAGCAAGAACGTCCGACCAACGTGTCCGACACAGCAAAACTCCGTCGTATCGAGAGTGCAAACAAGCCAAATAACTTGAAGGAGTTTCTCATTAATTGTTTCCTACAGGAAAAAACAGTTGGGAACAACATGGAAGTTTTACCGACAAACGGTCAGAAAGACTAAAAAGGACACAACATGTTCGGGATCTCATCTCAACATCTTTCTAAATTTGTTCTCGCCTTTTTCTGTTTCTCTCCCCTCCTTTATGGACAATGCGAATACGCAAATATAAGAAAACAAAGCATGAAAACTCAATGCCACAACAATAAGAATCGTGACGAACAGAATGCGAAACAAATCAACCTCCCTGGGCTGCTCAGCTGTTCTGCATGTCCTTGTTTCACGCTGCATCAATATTGCAAAGGTGTGTACGAGTCCTGTATGATCAACCAGCATAGAAAATGATGCCCAAGTCTCAGCCATTCAAGAATTAAAGCACACGCACAAGCATGTTGTTCCAATCACCACTCCAAACATGCTCTGACTATATATATACAGGTGTGCAAGGCAAACAGCGCAAGCCAGGAACTAGAAACGAACCATGTGGTATAGAGTAATTAACGGAAACCCGGCATAGCTGTCTGTGGTACTTCTTTTGCATGCCGTGTGAATGTCGTGTCAATGGAAGTGCTCAGGCATTGATGGGCAATAATCGGGCGATATGGCGAACAGCGAGAAGCAAAAGTACCGATGAGCAAGTGCAAGGGAGCAGGGACCGCTTCCGCAGAGTCTACCAAGCGATCAGGGTACGAAGCCCATCCATTCATACTGGCACTTTTGAAATGCCTGACCCAACATCGATACTGTAGTGCCAGGGATGCTGCACTTCAAAACCTAAAAGCCTTTCACAATCGAAGCTGCAGCTGCTCCGGGGCCGCTCATGCTTTGCACCGGTGTGAGGAGACCCCTTGTTAAACTCCTCTACGCACGAGTTGCATGGTCCTCTCAGTACCCCTTCGTACCAGTGCAACCAGGCCAAATGAACGAAGGAAATCAACTTCCACGCGCCTCCACTCCATCTGCGCCAAGGCCATTCTCACTCATCTCCAAGCGGACTATGGTCCGGTTCCCGGACCATCTCCGTGCGAGTTCCTGCTCTTAGAGCGTAATTGGTGAATCCGCATGCGAGAAATCATTCCGCGATGAATTACAGTGTGTCAAAACAACCATAATGTCAAAAGAAGTTGAACAACTAATAAACAACGTTTTGATAAAAAAAAACACCAATTCCGTTTAGTTCTTTAATGTTCTTTATATCAAAACTTGAAGGTTCAAGAAGCCACCCACCTTCGCCCATGAAGGCGGAATCTGGTTAGAGTTCAGCCTCGATCACAGTCAAGGAAGGCATCAGACCGTACTTCAGGGCATCCTCTAGTTCCATAAGCATTCAGGTTGAAAGCCAAGCATCTTCAGATTGTGCAATGGCTCCAGGTTGAAGGAGACCATCTTCACCATGGCCTTGCAAAAGCTCTCGCTGGATTTCCAGAATACTGACATGCTTTTCTACACAAAAAACAACATGACATGCAAGGATTTTGCTAATACACAAAAGATCCCAAAGTGTGTACCAAACTCTACCCAATTCATTCAAAAACCTACGGCAAGGACAGGTTGTTGAGGCCTACCCGCAGCACTCCTCAAAATGAACAAACTAGTCAATGGAGGACGGAGGGCGATTTTCTAGCAAGGTTCTCCCAAGTGGCGCAATTTAGGCCTGCAAATGCAAAATTCACAATAACTACTGGCTCTTGCTCAAATACTTCCCCGTGGATGTCGGTACAATCGAGAATCTAAGGGTAGAGAAAACACCTCCGAAAACAATCTCACCAGAAACAATCTCACCTCAACCGCCAGCATCTGGAGCTGATGGTCATGTAAACACGACGTGGACATGACGGGGATGGACTTGCATGTTCGTAAGGTGCAGAAATCCTAAGGGAGGCCCTTCAGCCTTGAAGAGGTTGTCCTTCCCTCGAGCTTTCCGGAGAGATCCTTGGAGCGTCGTTGTGGAGTTTCTGACAGTAAAGCCTACCGTGAGACTTGACATCTTCATGGCACCGCTAGGCGGTCCTTGCCACAGAATTCGATACACCAAAACACTTTGCAACCTCCACCCATACCCTAGACTGCTCCAGATCAACTTCAAAAAGCGATCTGAAAGGTACACACTGTCTCACTCGGCAAACCAGGGATGAGCTACTCAATGGAACAACACTGAAAGTCATCTGAGGCCATTATGGTCCTGGCACTTTCAGCGGTTCTTCAAACTGCTTTCCCAGCGTCCCACTCGCCACTGCTCAGCGCCGCAAACCACTGCGCACAAAAGCTCCAAGAATTTTGCCAGGCATCCTTTGCCAACAAACACTCAGGTCTCCACATGTCCCGGAGTTGTTCAACTGAAGAGCACATTGATCTATCAGGTTGCAACATGATTCGAGTGAATACACCTGACATATAAAAATGCCTGGACTTGAGTAGTCCTTTAAACGTTATGTCTTGCGAGAGAACTCTGAACCCTGCGAACCCTGCGTCCAAGTGTCAGTGCTCGATCTTGTGACCTCACGAGTGCTGTCTGACTGGATCAGATCTGAGATCTCTTTCAGCAAATGGCCTTGGTGGGTTGATACATGCTGATACCAACTACTTGTGAGCTTGCAATGTCTGCAAACTGATGCAGCTGCTTTCACATGTCAACTCCGTCACAAGCCTTGCAATTTGCCTAATTGCCTAAGCTTTGGCAAAGTAGCTCTTCACGCAGATTTCGCGAAAAAGACCGGCGTCATTCTCCAAGCCAGCCTTCCCAAGGTTGCAAATATCGGTCCATGGGATGCTTGACATCCGTTTTTTTTCCCTTGCCAAACGACATTGAGACAAACAAGACAGAAAAGGAACACCTTCAAACCAAGAAGGTTGGCCTCCACACCTTCTATGAGGTATTTGGGGAAGTCTGGAAATCCAAATGTGATTCAAACTACGTATATATATATAGGTACACTTTGGGATCCAATGGTTTGTATCTTTTTCAGGTGCAAACCGAAACCTGTGAGAATTGGATTTTGCCCAGCCAGCTGAAACTAACCAGTGGCCTTCAACCCCTGAGTTTCTGTCTCCTGGGGCTGGGCTAAATATCAAGTTACAAGTAGCATCAGAAACATTCACAAACTACATCCAAGGCAAAAACCAAGATAAAACGGAACCCATATATTCGAGCTGCATGAAACAATAGACACATCACGACAGATCCAACTCGTCCCTTGCTTTTGGTTGTTTGTGACTTGTGACCACTTCATTTATGTCAACTCCTCCGGCTCAGGCCTCGCCTCGTCCTTCAAACGGACGACTTGGTCGCCGTCAGCGGCCTCCAGCGCCGCGTCCAGTTTGCTGGCCAGCTTCGGAGCGATGCGGCGCTGCAATGGTTTGAACAGCACCTGAGGTCACACGTCGAATGACATCGACAGAGGTTTGAAAGGTGAACACATGATGAAAGGCAAGGCATCTGAAGATCTCAGCAAACAACTTGCTGCACTTGACCAGTGGGAAGGTAAATAACTTCAACTGTACGAGGATTCTATGATCTGGATTTATGATACATGCTGAGTTTCTGTTGCTGGATTCCCTCAATGCACCTTCCCTCAATCGCCAACAAAAAGGTCTCTTCCGATGTTTGAAGCCTTTTTTGACCTTTCATAATCGGTCAATCATGGTCGAACGGATGGCCACTTGCGAAGCCTCAATATGACCCAACCGCCCAAGGCTTGATGGGGTACTCAAACACTTCCTGCGGTGGAGACACAAAGGTGCCAGTCACTTGGACGATGGGAACGGCGAGATTCAGAACGGCCACTACAGTGCTGCCTCCCGGGACTAAAGCCAGGTAGAGGATGGCCAAAGCCTCAACTGAGAGACCCATGTCGCAAATCGTTGAGTGCAAGGCCCTGTTCAGCTGCTGGGTCACAAACCACTTGGGCCATCACAAAAGCGATTGGAACTGCTTTGATCCAAAAACCATCAAAACCCATGAACCCTTCGGGTTTTGCGTCTGCTAGTCACTGGTCCATGGACTGAACTTGAATGAAACGAGTGGGAGTGGATCGCTGAAATCTAAGGCAAGGCGCAGCTTGGGGAACGTTCCTCGGGGGGTAGGGCAAACGTGCAAACACGTGTAGGAAAATAGCAAAGAAAGACACACCCTGATATGCAATGTGTAAATTTGTAATTGACTGTAGGTTGTAAAAAGGCCTGCGTTGGCTTGCCAGCATTTCTCAACCTCATACCCTGCGAATGGACTGACATACAATGCTTGCAACATCTCAGGTGTACTGGCTTGTCTGCCCAGATTCTCCCACAGCAGCATCTTCCCTTGGCCGAAAATGTGAAGCCGCATGAACCAAAAGCGGACAAACTCAAGTTCCTGATGATTTTTACTTCCAAGATCTCAATTAGAGCACCCCCCCACTGCTCAGCAGGAGTGTTTCGTTTAACAACAACGTCACCAGGTTTGTAAATAGCACGCAAAACAGCTCAAAAGATTCAAAAGATCGCCCCACCTCCACTTACCCCTCACTGACCATTGCCAAGCTTCTTTTCGTGGGAGTAAACTGCTTGTAGAGGAGCGGCAGCAACTCAGAGCACCTCAGCAAGAGCACGTGGTATCAGTGGGACTGGCAATATCTTCGCTCAACTTGCTGTATTCAAGTTCAACAAAGACTGGGCATAAAGGGGGAAAGGAGGTGGCAAGCTCACCCACAGGAAGGACAAGAAAATAGTAACATAAGCATTTAGGAGCAAAACAGTCAGCAAAACTTGCTTTGAGCAAATGGTTGGACACATGCCACTGGCTTTGCTGAAGGCCCGCTTCGTCCATGAAACCTGAACCAGTCTCGAACGGTCCGGTGCTCCATCAAGTCAATGTTCACAAGTCAGTCAGATTGCATGGATTGCTGATAGGTGACTCCACATGTTTCTACAGTTGACAACTTTGTCTCTTAGAGCCACTGTTGTACACATATCGGAGGAGGCCTAATTCAACTTTCAGAAGTGCAAAAGACTTCTCAGCCTCCGTCTTGATAGCTTTCTTGCCGGAATCGGTTGAGTCAGCAGGAAACGTGGGCAATGACAACCTGGGATGGCAAACGATTGAACGTCAGCAACCCAAAGCAAACCAAAACCATATGTTCCACGTGTTCACTCACATGTTCCATTGTCTAAACATCCACCTAAAGTCAATGCTAGGCAACACCGCCAGGTGGTTGGAGGCAAACTCCAGCTGGCAGCTTTTATCTCGCAGCAGGACGATGTGGAACCTGCAACGTCCGCGGAAGCTGCAACGGAGGGAGGCTTCAAAGAACAAGTTACAGCGGAGCCATCAGCACTATCCGCCGACCCCGGCTGAAGGAGGGGGAGCGCGCGAGGGATTACAGGTGCGGGAGCCTTGCGCTTCTTCGTCTCAGCACGAACCTGCAGGCAACAGACGCTTCCACTGCTCGATGCTGCTCGAACACATGCATCACTGGAGCCGCAACCTATTGCGCTTCTTCGTCGCAGCACGAACCTGCAGGCAACAGACGCTTCCACTGCTCCATGCTGCTCGAACACATGCATCAGTGGAACCGCAAGCTACAGCAACATACGAACCCCTCTGGCGGTGGCTCACAATGTCGCGGTCGTGCTCCCTGAGGCCCTCACCGAGCCGGAAGCAGGGGTGGGCACCGAAAGTGTGACCATGGGAGGCTCGGAGGGTCGTTTTGGATCAGACTTAGATTGGAAAAAGCTGTGGCGGGACCAGGTGTTCGGGGCCAAGATGACCGAGACAAATGGAAACAAACTTCTTTGTTTCTAGGGATTCAGAGGCGGCGTTTGGCACCCAAAGTGCGACCATGGGAGGCTGGTTTTGGACCAGAATTAGATTGGGAAAAGCTGTGGCGGGACCAGGTGTCCGGGGCCAAGATGACCGAGACAAATAGAAAGAAACTTTTTTTTTCTAGGGATTGAGAGGCAGCGTTTGGCACCCAAAGTGCGACCATGGGAGGCTTGTTTTGGATCAGAATTAGATTGGGAAAAGCTGTGGCGGGACCAGGTGTTCGGGGCC